CCTACACATATGGTGCATTTCATTTATCTTGGAAGTTGGAATTGGGATCTGGGAATGAGGTCAGGCTCATTTTTTCTGTGTTCCGGTAATAAGTCACAAAACCAGTAAGATCATTTTGTTGTTGTTGTACTCAGGAACCGTGCTAACTATATCTCTGCATTCAAGCATCTTTAAATCTGTGGCCATGGTCCTTAGCCAGAAGTGGGTGGATTGCCAACTCCAGGTTGGGGCAGAGGTCCAACCTTAAGTATCTTGGGTCATGAGTGAGGGAAGGAGGGCGTGAGAGATCAGCAGGTGGATTGAATCAGCTTCTGCAGTGATGTGGATGCTGAACTGGTTATTTGTGTTGAAGAAGGAGCTAAGCCAGAAAGCATGGGTGATAATCATCCCAATATTCACCTATGGTCATGAGCTTTGGGTAATGGTGAAAAGAACAAGATCACAAATACAAGTGACTGAAAACAGTTTCCTCTCTCCTGTTGCCGAGCTCAGCCTCAGAGATAGGTGGAAGTGCTCAGACATTCGGGAGAGACTCAGAGTAGAGCCGCTGCTACACCATGTTGAGAGGAGCCAGCTGAGGTGGCATTCTCACCAAATGCCCCCTGGACACCTCCCAAGGAAAGTGTCTCAGGCATGTCCAGCCGACAGGACGACCCAGGCCATGCTGGAGGGATTACATCTCCATGTTGGCCAGGGAATGCCTGGGAATCCTGGAAATCCTGCCGGTGGAGCTGGTGGAGGTTGCTGGGAAAGGGAGGTTTGGGCCTCTCTGCTGGAGCAGCTACTCCCATGACCTGGACTCAGATAAGTGGTTGAAAATGGACAGACGGACAAGCCCTGTGACATGTGACAGAGCAGGTTGGACAGTACTGTTTGGACTTGAGTTACTGACCAATTGATGTCAACATGAATTCATTACTGCAGCCGTCACGATTTATTTATGTGCAAGGTAGCCATTTTGGATTTCAATTTTGGGGCTGGTCAGGAACCTTGGCTTTTTGAAAATGCAACTTTAGTTGATTTTTCTAGTTTGAAACTCTGGAACAAGAACTTCTGAGAACAAATAGAATACACCAATTAGGGCTGCACGGTATTCGGAAAACCTGTGATAACAGTGATAAATATTGCAATAACGATATGACTTGCAAAAAATAAAAACTTACCTCAGGAACAAAGGAATTAAAAAATGGCTAAAATATATAAAAAATGAGAAAGCAAAAGACGCGAGGAAAGGGAAAAAGAAATGGCAATCAGTGAATCCTGGGAAAAGCAGAACGACGCTAAATCAGGTTTTTGCTAACCATCTAAATTAAGTGCCGTTCGCCTAGGGGGCGAGCATCTCATTGAGTGCGTTTACATGCAGCCAGTAACCCTTTTAAAACCTGAATATTCACAATAACCCGGTTCCGCAGGTCCATGTAAACACCGCCAAAAACCCGGATATGCTCATAACCGGGTTTTTAAAAACCCGGGTACTACACCTGGGGTAACCCCTTTCTAACCCAAATGTTTGGTCGTGTAAACGCATATCGGGATATCCCCATCAAATCGTGTGTTCTGCGCATGCTCTGTTCACAAGGAATCTTGGTCTTTTGAGTAGCGAGACGTCTTGTATGCGCCAGAACACCGGAAGTAAAAAACAAGTTGGGAGCAACATGGCGAGTCGCGGCACAGCACCACACTTTTGGAGTGACGAGGACACCTCTGTCTTCATCGGTCTGGTGAAAAGTATGAACATTATGTCTTTTGTTGACGGCCGAAAGTACAGAGACAGCGAAATATGACGCATATTGCGTCTTGACATAGTCCATACGTCCTGTCGCTACCCCAACGTCCGCATTTAAATCGGGTTATGCAAGTTAGGGGTAACTCTTTCTATTTATGCTTGTAAACGGGTTATTCTGATCAACTCAGAAACCCGAATACCGACCTTAACCCGATCATAACCCGGATATTGGCTGCATGTAAACGTAGTCAATTATGAGAACCCACCCGATTGGCCAAATGGGTAAAGAGCTCTGTTTGATTTGTTAAACGCCATGCTTCCATTTGATTGACGGAAGGCATTATGTGTAGCAAACATTTGAGCTGAGCATTCATTACGATTTTTTTCTGTTCTTTGGGACATGCGTATTGCACATGCTGATATCGCGATGACGATACATTTGTAATATATTGTGGAGCTTTAACACCAATACTTCGAGTACCACACCTCACTGGTGTAGCGTAGTTATCTACATAACTAGAATTTAACGCTGTTGCTATGCAGCTCTGCTAAATTCTGAGAAAGATCAAACGAATTGGCGACTGAACTATATATATATATATCCACGGATATTTATATAATCGATAGACGCTCATACACCAACTGGCTTGGTCTATATTTAATCCAAAGATTAATATTTAATTTAAGAGATTTAAATTAATAGCAAAAGTTTATTTATTAATTCAGAAGATTTAAAGAGATCTTTGCTCGTTCAGTGACCAAATATACACCACTCTGTGTTTCATTTCAAAGAAGGGTCAGGTTTAAAAAGTGAACAATTTATTACTAACAATTTAAAGATGACAATTTAAAAGACAATTCATAAATGACAATTTATAAAAGCTTTGATATTAAAACTTGGTATGAAAGCAACCTGTGTCTGGATGAAAACTAAAAATGAAATGTGTTTGTGTTGGATGTGTGAATGGAAGTCTCAGAAGGTTTCTATCTCAGAGACAGAAAACACGTTCTGGGTGAAAGAATTTGGTTTGCAGCTATCTAAATTATTTCTTAATAAGAAACAGGCATTCCAGACGCAATCTGTGTTCTACCTCACCGTTCAGACGACCCTCTGTTTGGATCCGGAGGTCAAGGGAGGATGTTGATTAGCCTCTGGGTACTCGGTCCGGTAGAGGAGACATTACTGATCATCATAAATCATAATTATTATTAACCAAAGAATAATAATTCATTACAGTAAGTAAATACATTTATAATGAACCTTGTAATAAGACAGTGAAAAGAGTTTATTAAAAATGATTCTTTTAAATCTTGAAGTGTCCTTCGTCTTGCGGATAGAACAGAAGTCAGATTAAAGATGGTTTACAGCAGACTTCGTGTCTCCCGTGATGGATAATCTGTAAATAGAAGTACAGCCAGGACAGCTTGACCCAGCTGAGGAAGTGTGACCTTTGGGTCACAAATGAGTCCATTCATGTCGCTACACTGGAGAACTTTGAAAAAGTAACTTCGTCATATTTTTAAATCGTTTTCTTGAGCCAAAAGGTGCTAAAACGATCCTTTACAGGGTCTTTCAGCCCCCTCTAGTGCCTTGTGGGTAGAATACCACGTTTGAAACTTAATCCTCTCAGGACAGGCGACCAAAGTCACGTATCTCACGAGAAGCAATAATGCTAGTGTTTCCCCTACATAGGCTCAGGTGTGGTTCTGTGCCATGGCTGAAACTCCATGGCTGAGACGCACTGAAGCGAAACGTTCCGTTCTTTCTTGCTCGTATTTGGCAGTCTACTCATGCACTCGTGACGTTTGCTCTTCTTTCTCTTTCTTTTCAGTTTTCATACGTTTCTCCTCATATTTTCCAGCAACCTTGTCAGGGGTGACAAACACGTCGTTAACTCCGTTCTGCTAATGAGGCGGAAAGCCTGTTAATCCGCATATCCATAGCCTCATTAGAGTCAAGCATTACACAAAAGAGTAACTGATGAACCCAGATCACCACCTTTCATTGCCGTTTACCAGTTGGTGGAACGGCTGAGTGGCTAATTTGGTCTCCGTTTTGGATTTTAAACGTTAATGGCCAATGCTGACACACAGGTAGGTGGATGGTTTCCTAGCTGCTCTGCATGGCCTGATGTGGATGTGACGCTAAGAGCTTTTACGCAAAGCTTGCATGGACAGGTAGGAACATAGGGACACAGGAAATGGGAATACACACACAAACACACTTGTGCACTAAATTAGTTTTTCTGAAGCCTTTCCACTGCAGCTCATTTAATGGAGGGTTACAAAATGTAGCTTTCCATCACTAACAGAATGGGAGATTCACATTTTACTGCATGTAGAGAACAGTTTGTACAACCCTGCAAAACAGTATTAGTTAGGAAAATAAAGGAAAGATTGTTTTTATCCTATGGAAATATATACATTTAAAAAGAGGCTATTTAAATTCCTCCTGGTGTTGCTATGCAATCTTTCACCTCTGAGTCACTTCAGATGGGAGTAACTCAGCTAAGCTGAAGAATGCAAACGAGCCTTGAAAAAGTACCTTTCCCCTCTAATAGTTCAACTTTCAAAACATGGTCTGTTTGCCTTGGCATCTTCTCCGCTTTTGTAACAACAGCAGCTGTAACTTGGAGTCTGCACAAAAGAAGATTTTTTTTAATACATATTTGTTGCAAGTGATGACGGCACAAAAATAACTTTTCAATCGTCGGACCTCGTCGGGCAATTAAACTCCAAACTTTTCTTTGCACGTAAACACTTACGTTTTTGTTCGAGACGGCCTGTTCTGCTGTAGCGTTTAGGGCTCCTTTGCATAGATTTCCTGCAGAAACCTCTTTGATGGTGGCAGCTGGAATTTGTGGGAAGGGGTGGGGGGGGTGGGGGTAGGGGGGAGGCTGAGTTGAAAAAGCAAACCTCTTGGAACCATGACAACATGCCAAAGACGAAGGAAAGGAGGGTGGGAATTTTACGTCTGCGTAGGACTGCAGGGAATTATGAGGTTATTTTCACATTGATCTGAAAGTCAGAACGGTAGTATAAACATTGATTTCTTGGTGTTTTGTTGTGACCGCTGTGTACTTTCGCAGTGTTCAAATGCTGCTAACATTCAATTAGGATCTCCTAATTGAGATTTAGAGTCTGGTGGTGTGATCGTATTCAGTCTTCAGTGAGTCTATGGAGACATTTTTTGTTTTGGGTTGTTAATGAAAAATTAAATAAACTGGCTTTATTGTATGATTTTCTCCCAAATTTTTTGTGATTTATGTTGCAGGTCGCAGTGAGAAGAAGCAGCAAAAGAGAGAGAGAGCAAGTGAGTGGGCAGAACAGAAATCAATGATACGTTCAGCTGATTATTTATGGTTGCACCAAACTCTGGAACGCTATACGCTGGATGAGAAACTGATCTCTGAAAGGACTGAGGAGAGGGTGGGAGATTGTTGGTGAGGAGTGACGGGGTGCCAAGGGAGAGGTGGAAAAGGGCTGAGTCAGGAGCTTAAGGTTCTCACTAAATGTTGGTGGCTGAAATTTGATGCAACTTGTGGATCAGCAATGTTTTTTATCAGCAGGATTCACAATTAGACCAAACATTAAGTTTGGTTTATGGTGTTGCATGGTTTTATGTATCAGTTATAAACAGGTTGTACCTTCCAGCATTGAAATACTAATACAAAGTGTTAGCACAAGTTAATCAAGAGGAAAGACACGTTTGCAAGCAAAAATGGTGACGTACATTTATAGATAAGCATTCTGAATTATGCAAGATTACACATCTTTTAGTGCTGGGCAGTGGTGGCTCATCCATAGGGGGTACTGGGGCGCAGCCCTCCTTGTCTTTAAAGAGGCATTATGGAAGTTTGACAGCCAAAACATGTATAGAAATAATAAATGTCTTCTTCATACATTCTCGTGCAATGCCCTGGTCCTGTAGAAGGAGCCCTGGTATTTTTACTGTGATTGCCTGTTTTTCTGTAAAATCACAGAAAGAGAGATTCTCGGGTCGAGCAGGCTGCTTCATGCGCGTTCACGCTCAGGCATCGCCCGTAGCATTTGCTATCCGTAGCTTTAGCAGCAGAGAGAGAGGCAGTGCCACTTTGGCGCTGTTCCTAACGCCTAGTGACAAAGCTAGCTACATTTCTGAGGACCCTTAGCTACTTTCTGTAGAACTTTCTTCTAGATATTTCCTGTAAATTAGCAACAAAATAGCCATTTTCGCTCTAAACCGTTCTTTGGTTTGACGTCGTTTCAGGTGTCATCAAGGATGTAAAAGTTACAGATACTGTGAATGTTACTAGAGTGTAGCTCACCTTGTAAGATGTCTGACTCTTGTGCAGAAGACCTGGGTTCGATTCTCAGTGTGAACATAGTTTATTTAGAGTTTCTTTTTTACATTAATGGTATATTTTTTTACAGTAAGATGCCCAAATTTTTATTTGAGACTCGCCGAATGGCATTGAATTCACAGATAAAAAAGATGTGGGTTCAACTTTCATTTTGGAACAATTTTTCAAGCAAGGGAAGGGAATGATCTGAGCATGCAGGAGGACTGACCCATCATAAACCTTTGTCGGCTGTGCTGAAGAGAAAGGTACAGAACCAAATTATTTAATTAATTAGCTGCGCGTCCTCCTGTCCTCTGTCCTCCGGGCCACACACACACACACACACACACACACACGCACACACACACGCGCACACACACACACAGGACTGTCTCAGCTGTTATTTTCGTTAAGGAGTGTGCACGTACAGCATGCGCACCTCGTGCACGAGCCTACTATTGAAGCTGCCGTTACGCTTTTGGCCTGAGGGGGCAAACGCAAGCATAAAAATTCAAAACTCCGTAAAGTCCCTTTAAGGGAAAGAAAAGTCTAAAAAGTAAATAAAACCACAATTTACTATAAATGTGTCAGATTTACTTGTATGTGCCTACATGCAATCTGAATTATTTACACATTGTTTTCACCAGCTGTCTCTCATTAAGCAGTGAATTTCTTTTAGTTTAGTTTCACTCCTGGGGCGCTGGGAAAAGCGCCCCTGAACTGCAGTTAAACAGCCAATCGCATTTGGTTGCTAGGGAGAACTGGAGGATTTGGGGGCAATCAGCATCTGTGAAATAAATGTTTCTGGGGAGCTGGCCGACTGCGCCCCGAAATAGCAAACAACTAGCTAGCATGCTAGAAGGTGCTGGATCTAATTTCCACTCTTGTCACCTCCTCATTCACACACGCTCACTGTTGGTTTATTATAAAGCTGAATCATGCCTGTTGCTGCAGATTTTTTTCATTTCTTCTCATTTTATGGGAATATATTGTTTAAAACCACACCTCTAATTCCATTTCTACATCGTGTTACTGCCACCTACCGGCTAAGATGAGTAATACGCTTTGAGGTGCACAGCTTTGAGCAGATGATTAATTGAGATACACGTGATCATTGATTGCAGTTGCTCCTAAGGGCCCACATGGTAGGATTGTATTTGAGCATCATTATAGTTATAGTTGACTTTTATCTGTAAATTTTGAAAACTGACTTTCTGTAAAACTGCTTATTTGGAGGAGGGAAATGATTGGTTGTTTTGGAAATTGTAGTTATTTTTCAACTGTTTATTTTTATACCTATTATGAACTAAAAAGGTAAATACAGTGGGATGTGAAAGTTTGGGCAGCCTTATTAATCTTCATGATTTTCCTGTATAAATCGTTGGTTGTTATGATAAAATATTGCAGTTAAATGTATCTTATAGGAGACACACACAGAGTGATATTTGAGAAGTGAAACAAAGTTTATAGGATTTACAGGACGTGTGCAATATATGTTTAAACAAAATTAGGGAGGAGCATAAATTTGGGCACCGCAAAAACAAAATGAACTCAGTATTTAGTAGATCCTCCTTTTGCAGAAATAACAGCCTCTAAATGCTTCCTATAGCTTCCAATGTGAGTCTGGCTTCTGGTTGAAGGTTTTCTGGACCATTCTTCTTTACAAAACATCTCTAGCTCATCCAGGTTTTATAGCTTCTGAGCTTGAACATCTCTCTTTAACTATAATAATAATATTCAGGTCTGGGGACTGAGATGGCTGTTCCAGAACATTGTACTTGTTCTTGTGCATGAATGTCTTGGTAGATTTGGAGCAGTGTTTAGGGTTGTTGTCTTGTTGAAAGATCCAGCCCCGGTGTAGCTTCAGCTTTGTCGCTGATTCCTGGACATTGGTCTCTTCTGCTGATATTGAGTGGAATCCAACTTTAACCGTCCCTCAACTTTAACAAGATTCCCAGTTCCTGCACTGGCCACACAGCCCGCAGCATGATGGAATCACCTCCATGTTTTACTGTAGGTAGCAGGTGTTTTTCTTGGAATGCTGGTTTCTATTTCCTCCATGCATAACACCCTTGTTATGCCCAAATAACTCAATTTTAGTTTCTAGATTCTAGTTTTGCACTTTTTCCACATTCTCTGAATTATTACTGAAGTCAGCATGTTGTCAGACTGATGTATTACATTACTTTACCATTTTGGAGCTCCTACAGGTGTTTGATGGATGTGACCGGACAAGATAGATCAGCCTAAAGCAGCCTGAGGGTTTCTACTGTGCCAATTATATTAATTCAATGAGTGCACATGTTAATGACACTGTTCGATCCTGCTTCTTCCAGCTTTGTCGCCTTCCCCGACTAAAGCCCATTCTTAAGAGGCCACACTTAGAATCAGTTATTCATGCATTTATCATTTCCAGACTCGACTTTTCCAACTCAGTTTTAATTGGTGTAAATGTATCTGTCCTAAATCGTCTGCAGAAAGTCCAGAATGCTGCAGCCAGATTTCTTTCCAATGCAAATAAACGCTGTCACATCACTCCCATGCTGGATGATCTACACTGGATTCCTGTGCAATTTCGAATACAACACAAAGTTCTAACTTTTACCTACGAAGCTCTGAATCCCCCCCCCCCCCCCCCCCCCCCCCCCAGGGTATCCGCGGGTCCTTAAAAAGTCTTAAATTTGCTTTTCCAAATTTAAGGCCCTAAAAGTCCTTAAAAATTACAAATAATCCTTAAATACAGTTTCCAAAGGTCTTAAATTACCAACGACCCAATAAACAAGATTCTTTAATTTCTATAACATTTTCGTGAATTTCTAGTTAGTCTTCAGCATTTTTTGTGTATGATGTTGGCGTAAGCGGAACCGTACACATTCAGTTGGTTGTGAAAGGGGGCTATTTTTGGATAAGCACATTAGCTGGTTAAGCTAGTGGGAGCTTGTGCCATGGGGAATTGCAAGTTTAATGGGAACTGGATGGCTAATCCCACGTTCGCAACATGGTTAGCACCGGTTCCAGGCAATAGCTGGAAATTATAGCTTAAATGTGATTTTAAAAATAGCTTAAATTTGGTCAAAGTGGCCTTAAAAAAGGTCTTAAAAAGTCTTAAATTTGGCTCCCTTAAACCTGCAGATACCCCCCACCCACCCACCCACCCCCACTCACACACACAATGACAGATAAAGCTCGTGGGGAGCGTGCGTTCGCCCTTTGCTGCTCCCAGACTCTGGAACGCACTCCCTCTGGTGGTACGCCAGGCTTCTTCACTGGCACAGTTTAAATCCAGCCTGAAGACACATTTCTTTAATTTAGCTTTTGGTCAATGATCGGTCTTTTATGCTGTGCTTCTCTTCTGTTTTTACTGACTTCTCTTTTTATTGGCTGTTTTAAACTTTTGATTTTAGGTGTTTCTATTTTATGACAGTTTTAATTTGTGTTTAATGTGTGTGTTTGTATGTGAATTTGAATGGCTTTTTAGGTTTAACTCTGGGCACTGCTTTGGTCAGCTGACATGCTGTTTTTAAATGCGCTATATAAATAAAATTGGATTGATTGGACTGGAATTTCTCTCATTGTCTGACTTTCAGCTCCAGTTGAGCCTCATTTCACGGAGTGCATGTCGAGGGATCTGGAGACGTTTCGCTGCTGGTGGAGTCCAGGCACTTTCCACAACCTGTCCTCTCCTGAGGAACTCCGAGTTTTTTACCTGAAGAGAAAGTGAGTCTAACCCCTGCATAAATTAAATCTGCTCAAAATCTTCACTTCATGATAACTTTTTTTTTCTTCTTTTTAAAAATAATGTAGTTCTCCCTCCAGTGAATGGAAGGAATGTCCTGAGTATAGCCATTTGAATAGGGAGTGCTTCTTTGACGCAAACCACACATCTATCTGGATCCCTTACTGCCTGCAGCTCCGCGGCCAAAACAACATCACCTATTTCAATGAGGACGACTGCTTCTCCGTGGAGAACATTGGTTAGTAGCCAAAATGTATGCATGTTTAATTATCTTCAAGAGTCTGGAGGCAGGCTTTGCAGATTTGCAACGTTAAAACCTACCCACCTGGTTATCCACGCACGTATTTCATCAGTATTTTGTAAACTCAGAAGTACCCCTGAAGGACTTAGTTGTTCGTCCTTTTATCCAAACTTATTTAGAGCCGGAGAGGGTTAATGATAAAAATACTTGACACAAAAGCAAGTCTGCAACACCAGGTTATGCAGATAAACCCCTTCTATCAGAAAGGACATGTTTTGTCTGCATGAAAGGCAAAAGGAAAGAACATCACGTCAGGCTCCTTTTTTTATCAAACAGTCGAGATAAAGACAAATACCAGGACGTTTTTGGAAGCTTTTGTTCTGGACAGACAAATCAAAAGCAGTTGTTCCGTCAAAAAGAAGACATGCATTTCTAATGTCTGAAAATGTTTGTTTAAAGGTGTGGTTTACTGAAAAGCCATTTTCACAGCATTCACGCTCAGAAATAGCGTTTGGTGTCTGTTCCCGGTGAGGGTTGGACTCCGCCAGGGCTGCCCTTTGTCACCGGTTCTGTTCATTACCTTTATGGACAGAATTTCTAGGTGCAGCCGTGGTGTGGAGTGTGTCGAGTTTGGTGGCAGGAGAATCTCGTCTCTGCGTTTTGCGGATGATGTGGTCCTCCTAGCTTCATCCAGCTCTGACCTTCAGCTCTTGCTGGGTAGGTTCGCGGCCGAGTGTGAAGCGGCTGGGATGAGGATCAGCACCTCCAAATCTGAGACCATGGTTCTCGACCGGAAAAGGGTGGCTTGCCAACTCCGGGTCGGGGGAGAGGTCCTACCTCAAGTGGAGGAGTTTAAGTATCTCGGGGTCTTGTTCATGAGTGAGGGTAGGAGGGATCGGGAGATCGACAGGCGGATTGGTTCGGTGTCTGCAGTGATGCGGACGCTGAGCCGATCTGTCGTGGTGAAGAGGGAGCTGAGCCAGAAAGCCAGGCTCTCGACTTACCGGTCGATCTACGTCCCAATCCTCACCTATGGTCATGAGCTTTGGGAAATGACCGAAAGAACGAGATCGCGGATACAAGCGGCCGAAATGAGTTTCCTCCGTAGGGTGGCCGGGCTCAGCCTTAGAGATAGGGCGAGGAGCTCGGACATTCGGGAGGGACTCGGAGTAGAACCGCTGCTCCTCCGGATCGAAAGGAGTCAGTTGAGGTGGTTTGGGCATCTGGTCAGGATGCCTCCTGGATGCCTCCCTGGGGAGGTGTTTCAGGCATGTCCTGCCGGCAGAAGGCCCCCGGGTCGACCCAGGACACGTTGGAGAGGTTACATCTCCAATCTGGTCCGGGAACGCCTTGGGGTCCTGCCGGAGGAGCTGGTGGAGGTGGCCGGGGAGAGGACGGTCTGGAGCTCCCTAGTTGGGATGCTGCCCCCGCGACCTGGACCCGGATAAGCGGAGGAAGACGACAACGACGATGTTTGGTGTCTGTAGCTTAGCGGCAAAAGCGAGAGGCAGTGTGGGGACAAACCTAGCAACATTTCTGAGGATGCTTTGCATCTTTGTGTAGAAGTTACTTGTAGATTTTCCCTGCAGATTAGCAACAAATAAGCCATTTGCGCTCCGAACCATACTTCCGGGAGCAAGGAATGAGAGTGATAATCTGCACATGTGCACTGGGACATAAACCTTTCTCAGCCAGGCCAACGATAAAGCTACAGCGGCAGAGCTGGAGACCGCCGATTTCGCCTGCTGCTGCTGCAGATTCACGCCGCTGCAGATTCATAACTCTACTAGAGACGACACAGGCGTCAACCTGCAGTCTCCGGCTCTGCAGCCGTCAGGCAATTTGGCTTTTCCTGCATTTGGCAAATAAAGTCAGCGGGAGTTGGAACTGCCATCCCGTTAACACACGCAGCTCTGTGGCTCATCTGAATTTCCTTCAGTGACATAGGGATGGGTATATCATGAGACACAGACCAGTTGCTCGGTGCATCGGTGTGCGCTGTTATGATCACGACCTAGATGGAGAGAAAACACAACGGAAGAGTGGAGAAGGGGAAAAAGCCACTCTTCAAGAAAATGCTGGTAATGCACAAACATGAGAGTCTGTGAGAACGAGGAGAGCAGGAGCTCTGAGCTATCTCCTATGACAGAACGGTTTGGATCACCACACCAAATCTGACCTAATATCACTTTATTTATACTTTTAGAATTGATTTTACACATCAAAGCAACTTGGGCCATTTTAATCATACAAATTAGTCATTTTAACTAAAAAAATAATAATGGGGGAAAAGTGTTGATGCATTCAAAGCAAGCCAGGGGCTTTCCATATATGGTAGGAACCTTTTTTTGGCTGCTTGTCTAGCGCGTCTACATCAGAGTTCATTGTTTGTCTAATTTGTTAGAATTGTGTAGAACAGTCTAAACCTGTAAATGGCACCGAACAGGACTGACTCAGCTGTTGTTTTCTTTAGGAGTGTGCACGTACAGCATGCGCGCCTCAAGCCTGGTTTATGCTTGACGCATTTACTTTCCGCTTGGTGATGCGGCTCGCGGCTGGAACACGCTTCACAACTCGCAGCGTTTATGTTTCATGCGGCTCGTCTCTGCGGTGAGCCAATATTCTCCCAAACTGTAGGGGGCAGCATGGAGCTCAACAGCATGCATCCAACACTACACCATAGTAGAAGTAAAAATTACTGTTGTTTACAACATGGCATTCCAGCATTTTTAACAGTGTCCTCGTCTTTTCCGACAGTGCGAGCTATTTCTCTCCAAGAATTATTAACATGTTGATCACGGTGATCTTTGAGAGCTGAATCATACAAATGTCTGTATTTACGAACCTCTGCCATACTAGTTCTTGCCAGTCCGCCATGTTTTTCCGCGTCCGACCGTCCGCGTGGTTAGAAAATTTCCTAGGTGCGCGGTGCGGAAATTTTGGGCCGTGCGGAGGCGCGGTGGAGGGGCGTGGTTGTTAAAATGACGCAATTTTGCCGCACGGAGCCATGCGGACCTCGCGTAAACCAACCTTCATGCAAGAGCTTCACTATTGAAGCTGCAGTTACGTGTTTGGCCTGAGGGGGCAAATGCGAACATAAAAATGTCCTTATAGTCTCTAAAAATGACTCGAAATGACTTGAAATTCTAAGTTTCTGACTTGGGGCTTGACTTGAAACTTACTTGACACTTAATTCGGGACTTGAGGATAACAGACTTGCAAAACAATGACTTGGTCCCACCTCTGATTTGTATAATGGGAAAAGTTACTGGTACTGCAGAGTGGGAGGAAAAGAAGGTAAGCAGTGTTGATTCAGCTTCATTGCTGTTTCTAAACTCCCAACATCAGAAAGTTCAGTGGAAATCCCAAACAACGCTTTCATTTATGCTGCTTTGAACTCTCCTACAGAATGCCATAAACACACGATGCTTCTTCTGATCATTAAAGGGACTTTACGGACTTTTGAATTTTTATGCTCGCGATTGCCCCCTCAGGCCAAAAGTGTAATGGCAGCTTCAATAGTAGGCTCGTGCACGAGGCGCGCATGCTGTACGTGCACACTCCTTAACGAAAATAACAGCTGAGACAGTGCCTTGTGTGTGTGTGTGTGTGTGTGTGTGTGTGTGTGTGTGTGTGTGTGTGTGTGTGTGTGTGTGTGTGTGTGTGTGTGTGTGTGTGTGTGTGTGTGTGTGTGTGTGGGGCCCGGAGGACAGAGGACAGGAGAACACGCAGCTAATTAATTAAATAATTTGGTTCTGTACCTTTCTCTTCAGCACAGCCGACAAAGGTTTATGATGGGTCAGTCCTCCTGCATGCTCAGATCATTCCCTTCCCTTGCTTGAAAAATTGTTCCAAAATGAAAGTTGAACCCACATCTTTTTTATCTGTGAATTCAATGCCGTTCGGCTAGTCCCAAATAAAAATTTGGGCATCTTACTGTAAAAAAAATATACCATTAATGTAAAAAAGAAACTCTAAATGAACTATGTTCACATCCAGAATCAAACCCAGGTCTTCTGCACGAGAGTCCAACACCTTACTAGGTGAGCTAAAGCGCCAGTGACATCTTTTGTATCTGTAACTTTTATATCCTTGATGACAGCTGAAACAACGTCAAACCAAAGAACGGTTCGGAGTGAAAATGGCTATTTTGTTGCTAATTTGCAGGAAATATCTAGAAGAAAGTTCTACAGAAAGTAGCTAAGGGTCCTCAGAAATGTAGCTAGCTTTGTCACTAGGCGTTAGGAACAGCGACAAAGTGGCACTGCCTCTCTCTCTGCTGCTAAAGCTACTGATAGCAAATGCTACGGGCGATGCCTGAGCGTGAACGCGCATGAAGCAGCCTGCTCGACCCGAGCATCTCTCTTTTTCTGTGATTTTACAGAAAAACAGGCAATCACAGTAAAAATGCCAGGGCTCATTCTACAGGACCAGGGCATTGCAGGAGAATGTATGAAGAAGACATTTATTATTTCTATACATGTTTTGGCTGTCAAACTTCCATAATGCCCCTTTAAACACCACATTTTACATCACACAGCTTCTCTCCCTGTCCCCTGATTGAATGAAATTATGATGTACTTTGATAGAATAAAATGTCTCTTAATGTTTGGGACGCATTTTGGCACTTTTCAGCAACGGCATGCACTGCAGTGTCGAAACTGTCGCGATATGCTGACATCCTGAAAGGGACACTTTTTTCATGGAGACACAGAGGTTGAGAGGACCGATCCAGCATATTTTCCCTTTCACCCTTCCAGACATTTCCAGGAATCCTACTGTGGAAAAGTGCCTATTGAGTGCTAAAAGGCACACCACTAATACAGATGGTGTAAATAGCTGCATGATCTTATTCTATTTACATCTGAACTTTTGCCTTTTTTTCCTCACAGTGCGCCCTGACCCGCCCGTGTCTCTGAACTGGACCCTGCTGATTGTTAGTCCCTCTGGGCTCAGTTACGATGTCATGGTCAGCTGGGAGCCCCCGCCTTCTGCAGACGTTAGCACAGGCTGGATGCGCATCGAATATGAAATCCAGTACAGAGAGAGAAATGCCACAACCTGGGAAGCGGTGAGTCCTCTGTCTAAACATCCAATAATAAAATCACTTACACTTGAGAGGCAGATTGTTGTGTTTCCTTCCCCTGTCCCTCCTAAACCCCCTTCCTGATCTCTTTAGCTCAGTTGGCAGAGCTTTAGCAGCTGGAGCAAGAACCTCTGAGAAAACACAGCCTCACTGGAGGAAATAAGGGAGGGAGCTGTGGGTCAAAGGTCACAGAACCTTGTGCAGGCTCGTTTGTTATTTCTTGACCACCCCGCTTGACAAATATAGACCTTTAACTGGTTTCTGATCCCTCCTTCACAACATGTTCTCTAGCCTACATCTAAAATACACCAAACAGATGCAGCACATTGGGAAAGGTCATAGTTAAAGATGCCCAGAATAAACACAGACCTCTTGATCTCCTTTTAGCTTTGGTGTTTATTGTTTGCAGCTGTTTTTTTTATTTTTATTTTTAATTTTTTTTATTATTTTTTTTTTTTTGGTAAGTGCAACAGTCTATAATACTTTGAGTTTTCTGTCATAACTTATAATTTAAAAATATCACTTTCAGTTGGAGACACAGCCGCATACTCAGCAGACAATCTACGGCCTGCAAGCCGGGACAGAGTATGAGGTGCACATCCGCACAAAGATGAAGGGCTTTCCTAAGTTTGGGGATTTCAGTGACTCGATCTTTGTTAAAGTGACAGAGATTCCTCTCAGAGGTAAAGTAGTGTATGTGTGAATAAGCCTTGTTGCTGGTTGCGTACACACTAATTCAGTCCTGTGACTACCTCCTGTGCTGGTTAAGAGGTGCATCAACTTTTAACCCCCTTCCTCTACTTGTTTGTTAAAAATAAGACTAACATTGAAGGGGACTAGTGAAAAAAAGACATTATTTAGATGCAAGAAAAATTAATTTGACAAACTTGTTTTTTTTTTTTTTTTGTAGAGTCCGCTGTCCTGCTCACTCTAGTTCTTACCTTCGGGGTTGCTGGTATCCTCATTCTTATCATGCTGATCGTCGTTTCCCACCAGCAGAGGTAAAAACATCCATGTTCTGTCAAACACACGTGTTTAAATATAACACCGTTGTAGAAATATTAACCCTTTTGGGTTTCCATAAACCTTTGGGAGGGTGTGTTTTTTTAGTGGAGTATTTCTTACCAACAAGAAAATAATTAATGAACTGAAAGAATTCCAATTAAAATAGGGATGAGTGGAAAACATAAACTTTGCTAACTTTAATTATTTTTACTTTATTAATAAAATATTGCTTATTCAATATATTTAACAATCCAGGCTAACCCTAATTACCATAGATGGAAAAAAAACATAAAGTGTATATATATATATATATATATATATATATATATATATATATATATATATATATATATATATATATATATATATATAATAAATTTTGATTTAAAAACTTGATTAAGGGATCTTCTTATCAGCTAACTAGCATGATAAAAATCACAATTCTGATAAGGATTATTAAAGCTATTAGTAAATAAACTTTTTCCCCACTTTTATCATTTCAGATTAATGATGATTTTGTTGCCACCTGTTCCTGCACCCAAAATCAAAGGCATCGACTCAGAGTTGTTAAAGGTATTTATGTCGTTGTCTGTTTTTAAAGGGACTTTATTGAGTTTTGAATTTTTATGCTCGCGATTGCCCCCTCAGGCCAAAAGCGTAACGGCAGCTTCAATAGTAGGCTCATGCACGAGGCGCGCATGCTGTACGTGCACACTCCTTAACGAAAATAACAGCTGAGACAGTCCCTTGTGTGTGTGTGTGTGTGTGTGTGTGTGTGTGTGTGTGTGTGTGTGTGTGTGTGTGTGTGTGTGTGTGTGTGTGTGTGTGTGTGTGGGTGGGTGGGTGGCCCAGAGGACAGAGGACAGGAGAATGCACAGCTAATTAATTAAATAATTTGGTTCTGTACCTTTCTCTTCAGCACAGCCGACAAAGGTTTATGATGGGTCAGTCCTCCTGCATGCTCAGATCATTCCCTTCCCTTGCTTGAAAAATTGTTCCAAAATGAAAGTTGAAACCACATCTTTTTTATCTGTGAATTCAATGCCGTTTGGCGAGGCTCAAATAAAATTTTGGGCATCTTATTGTAAAAAAATATACCATTAATGTAAAAAAGAAACTCTAAATAAATTATGTTCCCACCCAGAATCGAATCCAGGTCTTCTGAAACAAGAGTCCAGCATCTTACTAGGTTAGCTAAAGCGCCAGTGACGTCCCTCGTATCTGTAAGGTTTATATCCTTGATGACAGCTGAAACAACGTTCAAAGAACGGTTCGGAGCGAAAATGGCTATTTTGTTGCAAATTTGCAGGAAATATCTAGAAGAAAGTTCTACAGAAAGTAGCTAAAGCCCTTTTTCAGATAGACATTCTGGAATATGAGTGGACAATTCAATCCGGTTTTTAACCGGAACTGTGTTTTCAGACAGACCACTTTTGTACCGGAACTTGTCCTTTCGGCTGCCTTCACACAGCAGGGAAAAGTTCCAGATGTCTGACGGGGACGGGGGGATCGGACTTATGTTAAGCATAATTCTGCACACGAAGATGCATAAGAGACCTGGATGATGAAGCTCAATGGTTAAAGGAATCTCTGAAGCGGTGTGAAGCACTTCGTCGCGCGTCTAGACGGTACCGTAGGAGGCGAGTTGCCATGGTTCGCTGCATGCTACAGCAGCGAGCTATCTAGGTGTAAACAGCGTCCCCCGGTCCCCTCCTCCTCCCCCTCCTCCCTGTCCGGAACTCGACCTCACCAGTCTGAAGCAGCCACCCTGTCCGTGACAAGTCCGGACCTGTTACTAGGGGCTTCGTCCGGTTTAATTACGGAAAACGATATCCGGATATTTGTATTCAGACACAAAGGTCTTACGGACAGAGTCCGGAACATTTCCGTTTTTTGTGGCCTGTCTGAAGGGGGCTTAAGGGTCCTCAGAAATGTAGCTAGCTTTGTCACTAGGCGTTAGGAACAGCGACAAAGTGGCACTGCCTCTCTCTCTGCTGCTAAAGCTACGGATAGCAAATGCTACGGGCGATGCCTGAGCGTGAACGCGCATGAAGCAGCCTGCTCGACCCGAGCAGCTCTCTTTTTCTGTGATTTTACAGAAAAACAGGCAATCACAGTAAAAATGCCAGGGCTCATTCTACAGGACCAGGGCATTGCAGGAGAATGTATGAAGAAGAAATGTATTATTTCTATACATGTTTTGGCTGTCAAACTCCCATAATGCCCCCTTAAAGCCACACTATGCAACTTTTTCTTTTTTTAAATCATTTTCTTGAGCCAATATGTGCTAAAATGACCCTTTAAAAGGTTAATGAAATGCCACTCAGACCTCCGCCACCCCCTGTGGTCAGAATATCACACTTGCAACTTCAGACTGGCGGGTCACTGTGTTGGGACGTAGAAAAAATTGAGCTGACATACCTGGCGCTGCAGTCTGCTTCCTGCATGTTTTAGATCATGAACACAGTTGATTTGTTTAATTTAGTGATGAACCACTCCTGTAGACACTGAGGAAAACTGGGAGATTTTTCAGCTGTTAGATTAAGGTGTTAAAAGGACGAATGCACAGCGAGGAGATTTGGTTTGACCCATCGACATATATATACTGGACGATTCCTGTCCATAGGCCTGTATTATAAGTTTTTATCCAAAATGGGAGGTGGCCACCACCGCCATTTTGATTGTGTCACACGAGACCGTCATGCCCAGACAATTCCATAAAAGGGAAAAGAGGTGGAGCCGAGAGTGGGGCTGTAAGACTGGGATCAACTGACGACACCCGTCGAACTGAAGCGATGTAGCTACAAGCTAACCCAAAGCTAACACAGAGGTGGGAGCTAAGCTAACGGAGGTAGCTACCTAGCTACAACCGGACTTAACTGTGCACAACACCAGAGTTTCTGAGTCAGAGATGCGCCGAGCTGCCGCTGGGGAGAAGCGGGTGGAAAACATCGGTTTCCATCCGAGATCTCCACAAGCCGGCAGCCCGCGCAGCAGACAGGCGCCGCTGTGGTCAGAGATATGCCGAGTTGCCAATGAGGAGAGGGGACCATACCGATAGTCGCAATCCAGCTCCACCAACATGTTATATTTCAACCCATTTTCTAAAGTGCAGCGTTATGTTAAATGCACTGGGTTTTACCCTATTACATTTAAATTTCATGGTTAAACAGTACATGTTAAAATCTAAGCTCAGCTCGGCAGTGACCTAAAATACATAAATATAATTTTACTGACCGAAAAAATGAAGTGGAGACTCCTTGGATGCTCTATTAGTGCAATTAATGCCACAGCAAGTCATTTTGTCCAACAATTGCACAAATAATATCCAAAAAAAGAACGCACAAACGGCACAACTGATGGTTTAAGTTGAGAAACTGAAAATGGCGGAACAGTTTTCAGGCGAGGCCGAGGCTCAGGCTGATACCTTTCGCCGGAGCTAGCTCTGTGGTCACGTGGGTCTGATGCTCATTAATTATTCAGAATTTTAGGCTTTTAATACACTTAAACAGAAGAGTGAGAAAAAAAATCACCCCCCTCAGAGTTGTCATGAGTGTAAACTAGATCATTTAAACCAAAAACATGTTTTGGAACCAGGCTGTAAACATGTTTATTTCTGCTGTGAAATTGGTGTTTTTAACATGGGAGTCAATGAGGATTTGCTCGCTTCTGACACCAACCCCTAGTGGATGAGGGGGGAACTGCAATTTATTTCATTCCCTGTTTTGCTTCACATCCAGACCCGAGTTATGGGGGCTTGGTTTGACCACAGATAATTAATATTGGACAGTAGGGGGTGCTAAAAGCAAGCAAAACTGCAAAGTGTGCCTTTAATGTGTCATTTGTATTGTATTCATGTGCTAGGTGTGTGCATGAGTGTTTCTTACACTTGAATTCTTATTGTAAACTTGAGTTTCAATTCTTCAGTAAAACGAACAACTTTTCATAATTTGTCCCTTATTTATTTTCATCCATTTGCAGCATAAAAATCCATTCCCAGTTCAATTTAAAACACTCGGAGTGGACAGCTCATTTCATTGTACATTGTTATTCAATAAAGCGATTATATAAAGTGTTGCGTAACATTTTTTTGTTTCCAACATTGTAATTTTAATTGAAAACAGACGTGTGTGGCCATGTGGCTCATTTGGCTTAGGCTTGTTAGGCTGCATAATAATCTCTGCTGACTGCTAGTGGCGCAAACACAAGGTGTACTGGAAGGTCTCACAATGCGTACGTGTAAAATCCTTAATGAATAATCCTGGTAGTTACTTATGCATTTACATAACTGCATGACATTCTCAGAAAATGTCCTGATCTTCTGATGCTTTGTTCTTCTGCAGAAGGGGAAACTCGAGGAGCTTGATTTTATCCTGAATGGTGGAGGCCTTGGTGGCCTGCCAACCTATATTTCAGATTACTACCAAGATGAGCCATGGGTGGAGTTCATTGAAGTGGATGAAGAGGACGCAGACTGTGGAGAGAAGGAGGACCAGAAAAGTTCAGACACTCAAAGGCTGCTTGGTCTTCCCCAAAGGAGTGTTGGGTGCTTTAGCGCTGACAGGTAGGGCAGAAATTTTTAAGTAAATGGGTTATTTTCATGCTACTGGGAGATTACAGATTATGGCTCTTTCTCCCGCAGCCACCCCGACGATGACTCGGGCCGGGCTAGCTGTTACGACACAGATCTGTCGGAACAAGACACCCATTTGCTGGCCGCCTCTCTTCTGCCAGGCCAGCCTGAGGATGAAGAGGCCTTCCTGCATCCTGATGAAAAAGCACCAGCCTCAGAGACAAACAAAAGCCCGCTTATCCAAACTGAATCTGAAGGGAAGCCGACTTGGATCAACACAGATTTATATGCCCAGGTCAGCAATGTGATGCCCTCGGGAGGGGTGGTGCTGTCTCCTGGCCAGCAACTCCGAATCCAGGAGAACACAGAGAAGGAATCACAAAAGAAAGGGAAACTGGGTGAAGACACGTCCAAGCTGAACAAGCCTCAGTTCCAACTTCTCGTCGTGGATCCAGACGGAAGTGGCTACACCTCAGAGATTACTGCCCGGCAGATCAGCACTCCCCCCAGCTCTCTCGTGCCTGGGGAGGGTTACCAAACCATATACCCTCAACCAATGGAGACCAAACCTGCAGCCCCATCAGAGCCAAATCCGTCTCCTTACATTCTTCCCGACTCCCCCCAGACTCGGCTTTTTGCCCCCGTGGCAGATTACACTGTAGTACAGGAGCTGGACACTCATCAAAGTCTGCTCCTCAATCTGCCCACCCAGCAGCCTCCTCCTCCCTGCCTCCCTCAGCATCCCCTCAAAGCCCCAGTGGCCATAGGGTACGTCACCCCAGATCTGCTGGGGAACCTCTCATCGTGAAACAAAAGTTCCACCAGACCGTTTGTTAACGCCAGGCTGTTCGGCCAGGAAGTCATTTGGAGTTTCTCACTCTGATTCCTGCTGTTAACCAAAAGGAGAAGATAAAACGCTTGCAGCACACTGGACGGATGAGTCCATGCAGGAAGTCAGCATGTGCTCCACATATCTGCAAATGTCTGCTAAATTTGGTAATCGATTAAACTAATGCAGAAACAACCAAATTTCAACACCACAAACCAAATTTAGGATTTTTTAAACACATGATTGTAATAAAATGATCAGGTCAGTGGTCTTCGATTGCCTTACATCTCTGGCTGCTTGTGTGTAGAGCAAGTCTTAAGTCACATCATGTATCCCAAAGTTTCCTATCTCGTTGTCCTAATAGTACTTGTGATATTGTTTACCTAGCTCCCCCATCCCTCCCAAAAAAAAGGTTTAATATATCTATGCAGATCTGCATCCCAAGCTTTGGGCTAGACATGCTTTCATTGTTAAAAAGACAATTTGGGTTAAACAACATCAGAATATTTCTTTGGATTATTCAAATTTAATGGATTTAAGTGATGTGCAAAAATCCTGGACGCTAGTTTGGAATTTTTTTTTAAGTAAATACAAGAAAAGACACATTAAAAGGGAAGTTAAGAGGCACACTTGAGTGTTAAACTAACCCTAATAAAAAATATAGTTGCATATATTTGTGTCACCTGCAGGAGTGAAGTGTAATTACTTGAGCGTGAGGGAAGGGTTTGCTCAGACCCAAAGCTGTGCTGTAGAACATGTAGCGGTTCCAAGTGCCTCACCCAAAGGTACCTCATTTATATCATTAAACAAAAGGGAAACTGTCACCCACTCATAAGAACTTCTTTAGACAGAAACTTTATGTGTCATGCTCTGTTTGGGCGTCATCTTGTGTCGTTTTGGCAGAGAAAGCAACTGGAATAGGTTGACAGACTGTGAAAGTGCATCATAATATACTTATTATTCATATTTGCCACATTCACTGTTTAGCTACTTGTGCCTATTACAGTGTTATTGCCTATCTTTTAATGCTATGGTACTATGCTCATGTGGTTTGGGTCTGTGCATGACTTTTTGCAAGCCTGCGCACAAACCAGTACCGCCAAATGAATCAAAGTAAAAACATATTTGTGCACAGGCGCACTACAAAAAATATGCACAAGTGTGAACTCAAAAACCACGCATGCACATACTCATACCTCACATATAAAACATTCCCCTTATTTATATACTTTAGCTAACGTTGCCTTGCTTATGTATCGTAAATTACCTGTATTTGATACAGCGTCATTCACCCACCCACTCACACAAGGGTGATGAACTACAGTGTAGCTACAGCTGCCCTGGGGTACACTAACACAGGAGAGGTTGCTGTACACTGCCGCCACAGTCGCTCTGACCACTCCTAGGAGACAAATCACGTAAAGTGTCTTGCTCAAGGGCACAGCGACTGTGACAAATGGAGCTCGAACCTGCAACCCTCCGGTTACGAGGCGGGCACTTAACTCCTCTGCCACAGTCACAGGATATAGTCATAAAACATTGTGCCGTGAAAATAGTTTGACACAAAAACACAATTTTAAGAACCTTCAAAAGTCCCAAAATGGCAGATGGCAAAATTTGGGTATGTACACTCTAAAAATATGAAATGTTGATTTCACTTAACCAAGTTAAGTCAACTGGTTCCACTAAACCTAGTTGCCTAAATGTAAAGGGTAATATACAGTTTTATACGTTGTTGTGTTAAAAGTATGGGTGGGATTTTAATGCGGGTAATTATAATTAATTAATTAGAAAGGAAAATGTGTTGAAAGTTTACCCCTTTGAGCTCGAGCGTGCAGGAGGGACAAGCAAACACACAGCATTCATCTTGTAACCCTCAGCAGAACATCTCCTAAACTCTACACTACACCTCTATACAAAGGCACTTACTAGCATCGGCTATACTCCACTCAGCCTGCCCCAGCCTGGCTCCATTCGTTCCACACTGCCTTAGGAATGCGGACGTAGTTGAGAACATAGACGATCTGTGGCCTATGATGTCATGAGCGCATCTCCAAGCACGTGGGCGGGGCAAAAGAACGCAGAGAAGTCTGCAGTGTCTCCATAATTAAACAAAAGCGGTGTGAGCAGTCTTGCTTTTGGAGACTCTCTGACTCTGATTTTGCATCCTGCTTTGCTGTGCCTGGCAGCATAGAGTATGTGTGTGTGTGTGTGTGTGTGTGTGTGTGTGTGTGTGTGTGTGTGTGTGTGTGTGTGTGTGTGTGTGTGCGCGCTCCTCACAGCAGTGAGAGACAGAGTAAAACGGCTTCAGTCAGAGGCTCGAAACTCCACAGCATCCGGAATGATAATGAATGAAAAGCCCCTGCGGGCTGATTCTTTCTGCCTATCGGAGACTCCCCCTAAAGCCGGGCGGACACTGTGCGACTTTTTCACCCGTAGCACTCAGCTTCAGCTCAAACTGTACGACTTCCTCGTAGGGCAGATCTCACGAGTCATGTGCTCACACTTTACGACCCAGTTCTCGGATGCGACCTGACTGCTCACACTACGTCTGGTAGCAACACGTTGGACCTAAAAATATGCTAAAAATAGCAGTTTTTACTCAACAGTCAGACTTTTTTGTCTTGTTTTGCCTGTTGTCCTTCAGGAGTGCTGCAGGAGGACACAGGGATTTATGGGGGTTGGATGAGGAAAACGAAATAAAGAAAGTAAATCTGTGTTTTGTGATCAGTTTAATTTGACATGAACACAACAAACATGCTTTCTTGACCATCTTTGTGAGTAAAAAAACGTGTAGAAATAAAAACAAACAACGTGTGTTATTAGGGAAATAGCGGGCGAGCGGCGTTGATGCAGGATTGCGCATGCGCCGTGAGCAGTTCTGGTACTTTTTGGGTCGCAGCTGCTCGCAGCGCCGCTTCAACAGTGCGATACCCTCACGAGGGACGAGCAAAATATCAAACACGCCAGAAGTCCGTGCAAGCTCACGATTGCTGATCGGGTGTTAATCGCCTCTCGTAACCCCCGTGCACTACACGACGCTCGGCGCAAAACTCGCCCCGATCTTGTGGATTCTCGCACGAGTGGAAAATCGGCTCAAAACAGTAAAGTCGCAGAGTGTACGCCCGGCTTAATGGTACGCGTGATTTTGAGCCAGCCAATCAGCCAGCAGTGGGTGTGTCGGCCCTGTTCTGCTCCAGGCAGATCGCCTCAGGAAGAGGGCTGAAAAGATGGCCGGTTGCCGTGGGAAAATCCAAGGCTAATAAATGAGGAAGGTCCCAACCCGGTCCAGGCGAAGTGGAGATGATGCTAGTGTGTAAGGGTTCAGTTCAGTACACAATATTTACAATGTTCCATGTCCATTTACACTTCATCAGTAACACTTATGCAAATATTTACACATCCTAACAAATCCCACATTGGTTACCATTATACTGAGACCAAGTAATCAAATAGACCTTGTGGTTACAGAAATATACTCTTTAAAGTGTGGGTATGTCATCTTTGCCTCACTAACAATATTTTTTATTTTAAAAAAAATTAGGGATGCACCGATACCGATACTGGTAAAAGTTAACCGATACCAGGAACAGATACCAACACAGTTGTTTGAAAATGGCTTCACTGTAACTTGTCATTTCTGTTCACCTAATATTTTAGTTTTGTGATGATTTCTATTCATATATTTTACTTTTTATCTACCTCACAGTCCTTTCCTGTTGAAAGCAGAGAAGAAAATAAAATCTGTATTCCAAATCGTTGCATTTTTTGGTGTGGTAGATGTATCGGTATCGGTAATCGGTATCGGCGAATATTCAGATCTAAGTATCAGAATGGTATCGGTTTGGAAAAAATTGGTATTGGTGCATTCCTAAAAAAATGTTTGGGCGCAAATTGTCTTGAATGATTAAAATGTGATTAATCAAGATAATTAATTACAAAGCCTCTAAATAATTAGATACATTTTTAATAGAGAACCACTCCTACTTAAAAGTAAATGTATTACATTTAAATAGCTAGATTTTGTGAAACCATTTGACATAATTCAGTTAAGTAAATTCCAGATTTTATTTCTTAGAGTGTAATCATGTATCTCTAGTTATTATGACCCTTACCTTTCTTAGAATAATGTAATTTAGACAAATATTTATAGTGTGTTGCGTAATCAAATTATTTAGCTACATTAGCTGGTAGCCTCCCCTTTGTTTACTACAACATAGCTTTCAATAAAAGGTCTGCATGAGTAACCCGAGTAACTTAAGGTTCCTCGTGTGTTTTCATTTTCAGTATTCTGCCACAAGGATTTAATAACATGCCTATCTCAAACAGGATAAAATTGCATAATTTACATGATAAGCTAGAGAAGTCAACTGCGCTAGTTTGATATGCATGGTTTTGTGATAAGACAAATAATATATTTTTTACAACAGGTACGTGGCTGAATGAGACGCATTGTTGATGAATCACATTAAAAAAATAAATTTTTCATAAAGAAAAAAAACTTCCAACTTTTTCTGGAGCTAAATAATTAGTTGGATTAAAAGATTAAACTAGTCTTTTGTATCAGATAATGGCACAACAAACAGACAGAGCAAGCACCATAAGAAGACGGGTTAAAAATGTGAATCTGATAAATCACGTGCCATTTCTCTCTCTATCTCTGTTGTTTATGGGAAGATATCAGAGCTCTATTGCTGCTGCTTAGTACTGATAAAACCAGCAAGTTATGCTGTCGCTGAATGTCTTAATATATTCACTAATAGTGCTGAAAATGTACAAATATATATATTTTATCGTTAAATGTCACTTGTCACTATGTGCTGCTGCTTGGTGCATGTTTCTTTTTTTTATTTCCTTACATTCGGCCTTATTGCGGTGGAACTGATTCCATCACGAGAGTTCATCAGTCATGTTCTTTTTCTAAATGTTCCGTGATCAGATCTGGGCAGAAAATGTGATTGAGTTATGTGTTTCATTACCAAAAGATGGTTTTGCTTCCCGTTGGAAATAAAAACGTACAAAAATCCCAGGCACCATCGGTGTTCATGAAGAAAAGAGGCAAGACTCTTTGGTGACTGTGAATGTTAAACTGGAAACGAAATTATAATCACAAAAACTGAGGAAACGTTGGAAACAGTGTTTGTAACGGTGAGGGTAAGAAGGCGGGAGGTGCTTTTTTTCTTGTTTCTTCAAGCTAACTGTACAGATGTTTACTACGATGATGTTTATTAGCCAGTTCGCTGCGCTCATTCATTACGTACAATCTAAAAAACGAAATGTTGAATTTACTTAACCAAGTTAAGTCAACTGGTTCTACTAAACACGGCTGCTTAAATGTAAAGAGTAAAACACATTTACTTTAGTGTGTAACAATGTGTATCACTGGGATGCGTAAGCGTCGATACATTTTTGCGTGAAGCTCAGCTGTTCAGATGGGGCCGGACAGAAAGTCGAACACGAAAGTAAGAGTAAAACATCCGGAACCTTTCAAAATAAAAGTCACCTGCAGATTCCCCTTGCTAAACTAGAAAAACAATACGTCGTTAAGCCCGGGGCACACCAGATATGGACGCACCTGCGCCGCACCGTCATTTTAGATAAAAGCCATTATAGTTGTGAGAGTGGCTACACGAGGAACGCCGCGCCCCAGAAGCGCCGCGTCGAGGCGCTGCAGATAGGCGCCAAATCTATTTCAAGCATTGCAGCTGTTCACAGCATTGTGGAGTACTTTACAACAGAGATTATGACAGCTTTATGGCACAAACCCACCGAGTACTGATAACTTTGAAGTACTGTTGATTTTAAAATATTATAATAAATAGCGTACTTAACCATTTTGAATGAATTATGGGCTCGACACACGGGAGGCGACAAACGACCGCGATCAGCGAAATTTGTCGCTGTCGCTTTTATTACCCGACACACGGGAGGCGATCCGCGGCAGCGGCAAAGCCGTCTACGCGTTCTGTTCCATGGCGAAATCGAAACTTCCGTTGTTTGGTTTGGCTGTGTCAGGTTGGAGGGAATTAAGGTTATTTAAGCAGTTCAGAGTTAATAAAGTGGTAGATATGATGTTTCACAAGGTGCTGCTAGAGTTATGTGAAATCTTACTTCTGATTTTACTATAAAACATAATAATAATCAACTTCTCCTCCATGTTTGCTCGGAGGTGTACGGAGCATCCTGTCCGCTCATTGGTCAGTGAATGAAACCTCCGTTGATTGGTCCTCGTCCGAGCGACAGCGATGAAAAGTTGAAAATGTTTCAACTTTCTGGGATCGCGTCGCTGGGTCGCCTGTGCACGACACGTGCACGAGCGCAAAATTTCACACGCATGTTTTTCGCGTTTCGCTTAGTAGGAGGGAGACCCGCGATTATCGCTTTGTCGCTCATGTCTCATTGAAAATGAATGGAGGAGAGGCGATGTCGCCTCCCGTGTGTCGAGCCCATTCGTCTCTCAAAACACGACAGCAAGTCTGATCACGTAAAAACAAAAGAGTCACTTTCCGCTTCCTATTTTTGTATCGCGCAACTCTCCGAGAAGCGCTCAGCGGCGCTGCGCGTCCTGAGTGACCACTTGATTCCTCAAAACCACGGCGCATCTGTCTCTGGTGTGAAACCTCCATAGCCGAGGTAAATGGAACAGAAAATAAATCACAGACCATTTTGGATACACTGCCCTCGTTCTCCATCATGTGCGATCTTGCAGTTCTCCAGTGATTTTATAGCATCCCGCGATCAGCTGTTACTTACATGTGAAATACTCGCGGTGGGAAGGGAGCTCGCGGGTAAAACGCCCTTACGCGTCCAGTGGAAAGGCCGGGTTACTCTTTACTTATATCACAACTATGTTTTTTTGGAACCAGATGACATAATTTAATTAAGTGTATTTAACATTTAATTTTGTAGAGTGTAGTGCCAAACAGCAAACGTTATCTGGACACTTTAGAGGAATCACTTTGTACACATACAGTATATATTTGATGTTTATTCAGATTTTGTATATGGTGATTTACATGTTGCTATGAAACAACGTTGTGTTTTTCTGGTCAGCACAGTAATCAGACTTTTGAGGAACTTTCGATATGAATAAGCTTAAATTTTGTTACACAGAGTTTATGTTTATAGGAGGTATTTTACACTAACAGATTTCTAGATCGATGTAATGGAGTATTTAATGTTTGCTATAGAATGAATACAGTTAAACCTAATTTCAAAACGTATGTGGGGTGAGATACGTTCTCCTACTTTTATTGTGTGACTTCTGCCTCAGAGGCAATTTTTTTTTTACAATGCATCTTGGCCTGCAGCCTATTTTTTTTATTTTTTAAAACATCTGTACATAATCTTGCAAGAATTAGTGCTGGTTGTTACTGTTTATTAATCAAAGAATTGCATTTTTAGGATGCAACAGAAATTGTTTAGCTCATAAATACTGATTCGAGGAAAGTCGGCTTTCTTTATTATGACGTATTGTGGCTTCAAATATTAAAGCTTGCCTGTCTTCTGCTACTTGTCATCCAGGCTCACAAAACAGATACTATTTCATGTCACATTCAGAAATATTTGTGCTGCAACTTCAGTTTTTAACATGACTCCATTTTTATTACTTTTCCAACACAGAGCCACTGTTATCAGTCCAATTGCTGCCGCTTTCCTTAGGGCCAAGAACCGTGTTGTTTCTTGCTAAGTTCATTTTGTCCTCTCACCACTGAGCCTTTCTGCTGTGTATGTGTAATCAATAAGCTTTCAACAAGTTACACAATAAAAAGTACAGCATCTTGTCTGCTGGTTTTGTTTACTTTGTCTTCAGAAATTAAACAGATTGTTCATGCTTGAATTTATCTGGACTGAACACTCACTGGATGTTCGACCTGTTAATTAGTTTTCATCTTATTTAATGTCTGTATAGAAAATGTGAATGTAAGCTAAATCAGTTGATTTTAACTTGACTTTCAGATTTCTTTCAAAGGGGTCCTAGAACATTTTTTAATAGTTGGAAACTATTATTTAGGCCTTTGTATAAAGTTTGGGAATTTGTTGGGGCTCATAATGTATGGCGCAGTATGGGGGCCAAAATTAAGACTACTGCCCAGCAGCAGGAGGCTATATAAATTCTGAAGCAAACTACCGACCTGATTAATGATAAGCTGGTGCCGGTAACTGAGAGGCTGGCGCTGCTTACTGAGGAATAGCACCTTTACCGGCGTTATTACTAGATAGGGACTAGCAGCCCTCGGCTGGTCATTGACTGGTTCACACACTCCCTACGCTGTCTATTAGCATGGATAGGCTAGCGTTAGTCTGGACGGGCTGGTGTTAGCATTGGAGAGGCTAGCCATTAGCGTGCCTAGGCTGGCCACTAGCTGGATTTCCTACCCCCTTGACGGGCCATTAGCATGGATAGACTGGCGTTAGCATCGGAGAGGCTAGCCGTTAGCGTGCCTAGGCTGGCCACAAGCTGACTAGTGACTCTCCGAGACATGCTAACCCTTCTGTCAGCACTTCTCCTCAGGAACGTCCACACACAACGCTCACCTCTGCTGATTTCAGAGAGTATTTCAAGGATGTAGGAGACTGATTTATGCGACATGACCGTTCAGACTGCAGTTGCTTTAAAAAAAACATCAGATATGTGTCGGAATTAGTACTACGTATTCAAGTGACACGGATCGCATTTTAAAAAATCGGATCAGTGTCATTCAGTCTGTCATGAAAAAATCAGATATGGTTTGCATGTGGGAGGAAAAGCGGATTTAATGCACTTTTGCCTGCAGTGTGAACGTAACCTAAGAAGCATACGAAATTTTCTTTTGGCTTTCATCTGCCCCGGAGCCCTGACACAGGCCATTCTAAACCCCCTAAAGTTTGGTTTATGCTTGACGCATTCACTTTCCGCTTGGTGATGCGGCTCGCGGCTGGAACGCGCTTCACACCTCGCAGCGTTTATGGTTCATGCGGCTTGTCTCTGCGGTGAGCCAATATTCTCCCAAACTGTAGGGGGCAGCATGGAGCTCTACGGCATGCATCCAACACTACACCATAGTAGAAGTAAAAATTACTGTTGTTTACAACATGGCATTCCAGCATTTTTAACAGCGTCCTCGTCTTTTCCGACAGTGCGAGCTATTTCTCTCCAAGAATTATTAACAACATGTTGATCACGGTGATCTCTGAGAGCTGAATCATACAAATGTCTGTATTTACGAACCTCTGCCATACTAGTTCTTGCCGGTCCGCCATGTTTTTCCGCGTCCAACCGTCCGCGTGGTTAGAAAATTTCCCAGGTGCGCGTTGCGGAAATTTTGGGCTGTGCGGAGGAGCGGTTGTTAAGATGACGCAACTTTTCCGCGCGGAGCCGTGCGGACCTCGCGGACGCGTCAAGCATAAACTAACCTTAAATCAGCCTTGCTGTGAAAAAAGCTGTTTACCCCTCCCTCTTGACCAGGACAGGAAAATGCTAATTAGCTTCTTGCTGATTGGTTGGTTTAAACCAGAGGGCCTCAGACACTGGAGACTGCAGATTGGAGGAGGAAGAACTCCACATTGTGATGTTTTTATGGCAGGTTTCTCAGAAAAGAAGGTTTTCTCTGTCATTTTCAAACTTTCTAATTTACATAAAAAGTAGGTCACACACGGCTTAAACTTTTTGGCGCGCTACTTTTGACCACCCCAGCTTTCTTTATTCACAAACAACAAGAAAATGTTGGTTTTGATTCTTTGTCCCCTTTAACGTGGACTGTACGCAGGAGTTTGAGAAGGAAACGTTGGAACTGCATGCATGTGTGTTACGAGTGAAAGGTGGAAAATGCTCTCTTGTTTGAGGGCACACAGAAGGACTTGTGTGGTTCAATTCCCAAGTATGTGATTCTCTCTATTTCTATCTCTGTGCTTCTGCTGCTGGAGGAAGCAGACGGGGAAACAGTTGTGCATTGAGGGGAAAGCATATTGGACAATTAAGACGGAGGCTGTGTACTGCGCTGCTCTGTGTGGGGCTGATTGAATCAGAGAGACAGCCACTCACAGCTCGTTGTCTCAGGACATTGCAGGTAATTACCCATAAGTCACCGTTCCCCTGTACTGGATCTTCAGCCCAATTACGCCCACACAAGCTGTCCACCTCAGCCTCATTTATTACCTCCGGTTGGTTGTTGACCTTTTCAGGACTTGCTGTCCAACATTCAGCCACATAACACTGAGTCGAGGGTGTTGCTCTAAGATTCTTTCAAATATGTAAATCTGAAGGTCAACAGTACATCCGTGCATGTGTGGGCAACATTTAGTCAAATTTATTAAAGTTTTGTCAACTATAGATGATGGAATTACTTGTTAAAGAAAACAAAAAGACAAAACCTCTGAACTGTAGTCTAACTGAGATTCATTCTGAGGGTTTTCAATGCGAGAAAAGAGAAAAATGTTGTTAATGTTTCAGAAAATCTGCTAAAACAACATGAATGTGTACCACAACAGTTGACTGAACATGTTGAAGACATTTTTTCATAATTTTACGGTTGTGTGAAGTGATTAATGATGATTAATATCCATAATATTTAGTATTTGTGATCTTTTTCATTGATACACAAAGTTGTTATCAGTCTGAAAATAGATTATTTGTGTTGATGTGATGAAACATTTTGAAGACAAATAAATCCCATTAGTTGAGAACTTAAAATGAAACGTTTTATTAAAGCAAAGGTCTGCAATCTATGGTTCTGGATCCATAGGCGGCCCTTCAGTCCCTCTGAAGAGGCTCTTTGTAACTAAGAATGACGTGAGCCTGAGTAAATTTTATGTACCGAAAATTGATTTTGCAAAATATGTCTGAAGTTTCCACAACAAACTAATATTAATGATAAAGATAATAAAAGAAGACCACTCCTCATCGTTCTAATATCTGAAATTAGCTAAAAACATCTCCATTTTTCACCAAAACTGTATTTAAAATGCAGACATCAAATTGCTCTCTGTTTGGATTAAAGGGGGACTAGGCCATTCAGACTTTTTAACACCTACAGCTGAAATGTCTCCTCAGCCTTCATTAATGTCTACAATTCAAGTTCAATTCAATTCAAGTTTATTTATATATCGCCAAATCACAACAAGAGTCGTCTCAAGGCACTTCACATGGTAAACATTCCAACAGAGGTCAGTTCATTAAGCCAATCTGAAAAAAGTTTCCTATATAAGGAACCCAGAAAATTGCATCAAGTCACTGACTAGTGTCAGTGACTTTACAGCAATCCTCATACTAAGCATGCATGTAGCGACAGTGGAGAGGAAAACTCCCTTTTAACAGGAAGAAACCTCCAGAGGATCCTGGCTCAGTATAAGCAGCCATCCACCACGACTCACTGGGGATCGAGAAGACAGAGCACACACACACACACACACACACACACACAACATATATCCCGAGTTATGTTTCTATGGTTACATTGTGGTTTCTTACTAAATATTCTATTTGGTGAAAGAATTCAGAAAAAGAAATTGCTGAGTCAATCACCTGACCTGAATAGCATTAAATTCATCTCCGAGAACAAAGTAAGGAACCTTGGTGTTCAGCATCGATTCATCACTAAATCAAACAAATCAGCTGTGTTCGTGATCTAAAACAAGCAGGAATTATGCTTGAAGCTCCAGGTGTGTTAGCTAAGTTTTTTCTAAGTCCGGACCGGCACTCTGAAGTTGCAAGTGCGATATTCTGGCCACAGGGGGGCAATGGGGGTTTGTGTGACATTTCATTAACCCTGTAAATGGTCATTTGAGCACATTTTGGCTCAAGAAAATTATTTAAAAATGTAAAAAAGTTGCATTGTATGGCTTTAAGCAACTTTGTCACACAAGGAGCCCACAAGGATACTAAACACTTTCATATTTCAGACAAAACAGAATGTAATTATGTACATCTACTGGAACTGGATTTTATATTAAAATGAAACATCAGTAGACACAAATGAAATGGTAAATGGTCTGTATTCGTTTAGCACCTTCTTAGGGATCTACAACCCCCCAAGGCACTTCACAACACAATCAGTTATTCACCTATTCACATGGTGGTGGGGATGATCTACAATGTAGCCACAGACGCCCTGGGCGCACTGGTAGGGGTGAGGCCTGTCAGGCGCTGGCGCCACCGGTCCCTCCGACCACCACCAGCAGGCAAAGCCGGTCAAGTGTCTTACCCAAGGACACAGCAGCATTCTCTGGTCTGAGCCGGAATCAAACCTGCAGCTTTTGATTACTGGATAACCTGTGCTACCACCTGAGCTACTCGCTGCCCCACAAGTTACTGTCATCTATTTTACCAGCAGGTCAACCAAAAAAAAAAAAAAAAAACGTTTAAAAAAACAAAGGCCTTTGAATCATTAGCTTACATTATCATTACTTTAAAAATCAAATTTTTGATATTTTAACCCTTGATTTCACCAAATAAATGAAAGAGTTAAAAGGAGAAGATTTAACAATTACTTAATTGGTTGTTTATATAAATCATAAAAAAAATTAATGTTTCTATTTTGTTAACATTTCAGTCACAAAAGTGTCTGACCCCTGGGTTAAAACTTATTTTCAGGTATTTCACAACAAACATGGTGGGAAAAAATCATGTAGGTAAACAAGAAGAGCAGTGATGACTCACTGAGCATTCATCGCCATCTGCTGATACATTTTGGAAAAGAGAAAATTTCCACACGAGAAAAGCGAACCAGTTGAGGTGGCTCGGGCATCTGGTCAGGATACCCCCTGGACGCCTCCCTGGTGAGGTTTTCCGGGCACATCCAACCAGGAGGAGACCTAAAGGTAGACCCAGGACACGGTGGAGGGACTATGTCTCTCACCTGGCCAGGGAACGCCTTGGGATTCCCCCGGAGGAGCTGGCCCAAGTGGCTGGGGAGAGGGAAGTCTGGGCCTCTCGCCTTAGGCTACTGCCCCCGTGACCCGACTCCGGATAAGCGGATGAAAATGGATGGATGGAAGCCTAGGACAAAGAGCTGGGGGGGATGTCCTTAGTAATACGTTACTTAATATGGTTAAGCAGTTGATAATACTTTATTAAATAGTTAATTTAAAAAAAAAATTTAAAAAAGAAGCTAGCCGTTAGCGTTAGCAACTCTACCACACACCAGAACTCCTTCAGGATTTTATTTTTCATGGGGATGAAACATCAACAATGCAGAGCGAATGGGGCAGTGGAAGAGTCGCGTTTCTTTTCATGTTCTGTTCGAACATTACGAAAATTAATGAATAAGACTCCAGATCCTGCCAGAAATATATTGAAAAAACAAGTGAAGATCCTTAGCCTTGTTTCTTTTTTTTATCAATTCTATTAGTGTATTTTAAAATTGATTTTAAAGTCTGTTTTATGGTTTCAGTTTTTTCGTGCCCCTGAAAAGCGTTAGGAAGAATTGTTTTTTAAAAACATTTCTAAAACAATTATAGCCATCTGAACTAAACCCAGTTGTAGACCTAGATTTGCAAATTATTTTAAGCAGCTGAAGCATAAAGACTGATTTTCTTATTTTCACTCTGATTTTAATATATTTAATATCAGACCTCCAAATTAGTGTCTCTAAATAGGGGTACTCTGAAAAGTACTCGGGAAAAGACCAGTCTGTTGCACAAACATGCTAAAGGCACTGGAGATGGTTCAAAATGGCCTGTATTTGATATAGCGCCATCTTAGGGTTCTACAACCCCCCAAGGCGCTTTACAACACAATCAGTCATTCACCCATTCACACACACATTCACACACTGGTGGGGATGAGCTACGATGTAGCCACAGCTGCCCTGGGACGCACTGACAGAGGCGAGGCTGCCGAGCACAGGCGCCACCGGTCCCTCCGACCACCACCAGCAGGCAAGGGGGGTTAAGTGTCTTGCCCAAGGACACAACGACAGCGAGAGACTGAGCGGGGCTCAAACCTGCAACCTTCCGATTACGGGGCGAGCACTTAACTCCTGCGCCACCGTCGCCCCGCTCAGTAATGAGACAGGGTTCAACTCCCTGTGGTGCCTTGCTCATTCATCAGTTTATTTTTCATCTAGCGTGAGTTCCGTTCAGCATCTCAGAATGCATCATCGCTCTGGCTACGGTGTTTGGTTCAAACTTTCAGCAAACATGTTTTTGTTGTGTCGGACGGCAACCTCAAAGTTGCTCACAAAGAGGTCAAAAGTGTCCGATCTTGTCTGGTTGGTAGAAAACATGACCAAATGTTGTTTTAAGAGCAAAGTTTAAATGAGAAAGCCAAGGCTAAAGCATACTGTTAACTGTAGACATTATCAACAGTAACGTCTGCGTCGGCTCTTGGTCACAAGTGTGGCCGCCAGAAGCAGTAGTGGTCGATGCAGCGTCTACTTATTACATGTCTATGCTGTTAACAACGGGCCTTGTGGTGCGTTCTGTTTACCTAAAAAGAAACACAACTACGTGTAACACTGATGTTAGATGCACCTTTATAAGTTTGTCTTTAAAAACATGTTTTCACCACAGCTACTGTTGTTACGGGGCACGCCAAACAGAACCTCCAAACTGGAGATTTTCAAAGTGGGAGATCTGATTTTGTGGGGCGTTCCAATTTAACTTTCCTACTAAGAAGCTGGAATATCCAAGTACAAATGGAACGCACCATTAATACAAGGGAAAATCAAATCTGGAAACTCTAGCTCATCAGCGCTAGTACATGAATGTGTGTGAATGGATGAATGCGCTTTGGGGTCCTTTGGAGATGCTATAACCCTAACCAGCGTATTCCTAAACCAACTGAACAAAAACTTAATTCACATCTTACGTCTAAACCTCACCCATAAGTCTAAAACGGGGGTCCGTCCGCCTTATTAGGACCGGGCTTTGGCCCTAATAAGGCCCATCGGTCTTCAGAAGATGAGTGAAAATGCCAGTTTGGGTACTGAGTAGGAACACACACACACACACACACACACACACACACACACACACACACACACACACACATCAAGCAGTACTAAACCATCTTTATTAAGTCTCCAATCAAACACCAACACACTTAATGTTCTCTGTGCTGACATCAGGATTTCAGGGTGACCGTTGTCTTCCCACAGAAACCGTCATAAGGTACAGAAAATATTCCACCCTTAAAAACTCTCATTTTAAACTAGCTTTGAATAAGTGTGTCAGGTTGGCAGTCTCTACGCTTCATTAAAGGCACATCTTGTATGAAACAGTGTGTGTGTGGAACAGAAACCTGAGACGTGTTAAAGTTTATTCATCTGTATAAAATCAGGTGAGTGTTTTTAATCTTGATCAAAACCTTTTCCTAAATATAAAAGTCAGATTTCCTAAAATGTGTTTTCCAGATGAAAATAAAAGAAAGAAAGCTGCTAACGATGTCCCACACCCTCCCCAACTAACCAGATGCTTCGTTTTATTTATTTATTTTTTGCATCTTTTGAATTCTTTAATGTTTTCAAGGTTCACCGTCTTCTTGAAGGACCCTCTTCTCTCCCTTCAGCCTAACATCATACAGACGCCACTAGAGCATAGTTTATGCGTCTGGTTTCATAAAGGATGGCGAGAGCAAAACGAAGGAGGTCGTTTATGAACACGACGACCGCGAGTACACCTAAGACAGGAGGAACGCAGCACAGACGCAGAGATGTCAAAACTAGGGTGTTTTTTTTTCCCTAAAAGGTAAATCCAATTTATGAGTAATAAAGTATCTGTTTCTCTTTGGACCCCGCCTGCTTGTTCTGTGAAGACGGCCCTCCCTCTATCTCCAGCGCTCGGCCTGGGTGGTGGCGGCTGGCATCAGGACCAGCTTACAGCTGCTCTCATGCTCAGCTTCCCACACCAGAAGGTCAGGCTCACCGGGCTGGCTCGGGCTGCTGTCAGTCAGCAGGAGGCGAGCGTCACTGTCAGGTCTCCTTGACGTTACCGGCTGCCTCGCTCATCAGGCTGTGTCACTGTCAAGAGGCGGGCAACGCCTCGTCACAGTGTCACAGGCCCTGCTGATGCTCGCTACCTGCATCGCCAAACGACAGCCTGCGTCAGTGTCAGCATCAGCTGGCCTCAGGAGCGGCTTCGTTCTCAGAGGCTGCCGTCCACTGTCAGCTGTACTTTGCTTTTCATTTGGCCTTCTGTGTCCCTCAGGGTCTAACTGGGGCCGCGTGGACCTCCGGAAACATCTGCTGTGTGAGCACAGGGTGCTGCATGCTGTGACGTTCTAACGGAGCGTGCTGATCTTGTTCCTGTGATCTGACACCTTGATGACGCTGTCCATGATCGGTGCCATGGTGGTTCCCATGGCGATGATCATGGTTTTGATCATGGCCATGGCCAGAATCATGGTTGTCCCCATGATGGCCATGACCATGATGACCATGATGAGCATGGCGGCCATGGTGATGATTCTGCGCGTGTCCGGTGTGGTCCCCAGCCTCAGGCTGTGCAGCGTCCATCGTTGTGCACTCTGCTGCTGTCTCATTGCTCTGTTGGACACATAAAGATGAATTTATCACTTCTATCTGACAAAGAACTGAACGTGAACTCTTGTCGCCTCACTGGATGCCCTTTACCTCGTGGGAGCACTCTCCACATATGCGATTGCAGTAGGTTTTCTTGATTGCACTCTCGACGTGGCCGTGCCCAATGAAGGTGTATGGAAGGGACATGTGGTGGGTGAGACGGCCGCACCTGATGGCAAAGAGGCAGAGATGATGAATACCAAACGACGAGCTCAAAGCAGCAGTCTGCCACCGCCGCTGCGAAACGTGTCGGCCGCCACGCAACGGACCGGTCGTAGATGAAGAAGTCGTCCTTTTTTCCGTTCAGTGTCTGCCAAACATCAGCCTGATGCACGTGCTGTTTGTAGAGTGTGATGCTCTCTGTGAGTCTGTGTGCCAACAAGGGGTTGAGCCGCTGTGCCTGCTCCCCCTGGTGGTTGATGGCCATGTAGACCACATCCTTCAGACCTTGATCCTCCAGCTTCTGGCGCAGGGCAGCCAATCTGCAAATCAAATTATCATCAGAAAGTGAGATTAAAATCAATGTATTAGTAGCTCATTTATCAGTAATGTCTGTTTTATAAGTACAAAGAGGATGCATCAGTTTGCAGGACATGAAACCAGTGAGTTTACTTTAAAATCTTTCATTTATGCAGTGATGCGTATGCGCCATACCTGGAAGCCTGCACCAGGCACAACAGTCAGCTAGCATCTAGAAGGGCCACCACTGTCATTTTGCCCATTGACCCCGCCATGGGCTCCACCTCCCCCACGGTCCAGGAGGGAGGCAGCTGACAGAGAGGCCCGCCCCCATCACTCTCTGCACCGCCCCCATGGAGCAGGCAGAGAGTGAGGAGCAGGTTGAGGCGCACCCACATCGCTGTGGCACCTCTCCTCTGCCCCAGTCTGCAAAAGAAAAAAAAAAAAAAAAAAAAGGAGGAATGGAAGACAGGAGGGGGCGGATGAAGTGGGAAAACAAGAGGTGAGGAGAGGGAAATAAGTCAGCAAAAAAAGGGAACAAAGGGGTAAAATAGTTCAAATGTGGCTAATTATTGCAACATCCACAAAATCTCGACATCTTAATAAGTGTCACAAATTTGTACTTAAGTGCTGATTAGATAAACCTGATTTTTGCAAAGAGTTGTCTTTGAAGTTTCTATTCATGTGTGCAAAAATCTTCCAACGAGCAAAAACAATAGCTAGAAAGCAACTTTGAGCAGAAGATGCCTGCTGGTGTGTTCGAAGCTCTTCGTTTTCTTCCCCAAGCATGACACACACATCGATGTTTACTAAAGCAAAGAAGTGAGCAGCGCCTGAAAACAGTCGATGATCAGAGGCGTTGCAGGAAAAAGGAAGATTTCTGTCAAGAAGGGTGTAATGCAACACTCGTACAACAAAATTAACCTCAAATGCTGTCTTTTGGGGGTTTTAGTGAGAAATTCTGCTGCTTACCCTTTGGATAAAACGTCTCTCTCCCTCTGTTGAGCTCTGCTTCGATTCAAGTCCTTGAACAAAAACAAGAATCTTCCTCCTCCGCTCCCCCCTTTTATACCCAGCCTGTTGTTTTTCTGTCTGGATGGAGGACAAAGTTCACCCACAGCTGTCTGCTGATGCAAACACTTTCCTCAAGCAAAGACAGTACATAGTCCATGAAATCCTGCTGTTAATGAAGCACAAGCAAGTTTAATGTAAAGTGCTTTTTAGGGACACGAGCGTGTGTGTGGAGGAAACAGCTGCACCTGCAGTAACGTTTTAAGGCTTTGTCAGCTTTGGAGAAAGTGAAGGCATCTGCCGTCCACATCAGATTTTGCTGCTTTTGCATTTTGTAGGAGTGCGATTCATTTTACGGGTTTTAAAGTGCAGGGATAAGAGTTGCACAACCGTGTTCCGAGCTTGCTGTAGAAACCGGAGAAGAGAAAGTACAGAGGGAAGGACTTTGGCTGGTGTCCAGCATGGTTGTGCAGAGCCTCGCGAACACGGCGAGTCGGGGCTTGTAAAAAAAGAAGGAATGGATTACTTTGTGGTGCTGAACACAGGAGTTAATAAGTAATAAAAGAGTAATGATGGACGATGAGTCAAAAATAATGAAACATTTAGTTTCCTGTGAAGACGTTTGAACCCAGGTTCAGGTTAAGGGTCAGTTTTAGAGTACAGCAGTGTTAGACGTGAAACTGTAATCTGTGGAACACTGATAGCTGGGATTATGTCAACTAGCTGTAAATGGTTTTATTGTACAGTAATGTGATTTTATGTGCAACCAGCTGGAAGTGATACAGAAGAGGCTGTCTGAGCAAATATCTTTTTTTAACAAACACAGCAAGCAAAGGTGTTTCACAAAAAACAGCTTTTATTTGGTTCTTTTTTTAACACAGAAAAACGTAAAAAGAAACAAATAATGAAACGACCAATGATGTGACTTTTTATGACTTTGTTCCAGACTGTTACTCAGTTACAGAGTGTGGTTGGCAAGTTCTTTTAGGACACACGTCGACCTATATCAAAATGCTCAACAGTGATTTTTAAAGGATCTGACGTGACTGGCTTAAAGAGCAAGTCAGCACCTACCAGAGTATTACTCCACTCCCACTTCCTGTTTGAATAATGCAAAAAATGCTGTTGCCTAGCAGACCGAGAGGGCAGAGCCGCTAACAAACACACACACACACACACACACACACACACACACACACACACACACACACACTCACACAGGCTCACAACGACATTGTGGCATCATATGGTACCAGCTAACATTCTAGGGTACCTCTTAGCCAATAGCGATGGCAGATTTAAATTCAAATGTAGTGCAGAGGTTTTACCTGACGACGGTGCATCGCTGACAGTTTTAGGCAGAAATTTTAAATTTGAACTAAAATGCACTAAAGTGCAAAACTATTGACTACACGTGTCTGCAGCACCATTAGACACACATTTATATCGTTTATCAGGAAAAAAAGTTGATTTGGGGGTGACTTGCTCTTTAAGAAGTAATCCTGCAGCGCCTTAACTATGTTCTTGAAAATGAGACTTATTTGCACAACCGTAAATAAAATTTGTGGGACCTTACTTTAATTTATCTGATGTTTTTCATTTTTCTAGAATGTTGAATAACGTATTTTCTTTATCTTTTATTATTATTATTATTATTATTATTATTATTATTATTATTACTTTATTATCATTAAAGAATGTTAAACGTTATAAACATGTTATATCTTCTTGTCAGCCTGTTCAGCTTAGTATGAGACTGAAAGAGAGAAGTGACTGAAATGTTCTAATTTCTGTGTACACACACACACACACACACACACACACACACACACACACACACTTACTTCACACTTTGGTTCCAATACTTTTAATCACTATCTAAAATACTCAAACATAGTTTTAGCACTTCAAATTTTCAAGCTTGTAAAATTATTTGCATCATTATTTTTCTTACTTGAAGAATTTAAATGAACATGAAGACTAGTGGGATATCAGCTATGATAAATCTAGAGTTTTTATACATTATTGTTACACTATACAGCAAAGGTAATTGCTAATAGACGATAAAATGCACACAATATACACCTACGATTCTTTGACAGTTCAAATCGACATCAAGCATGTCTAAAATGACCAAAACAACAGTTTTGTCAGATTTTACTGTATGTTTCTGTTATTTTTGCTGAGAAATTATTTCAGCAAAGCAGCATGCATCTTATAAATCCAATACAGAATACTGTTTGGTTTTGAGGAATAAGGGATGGCTGACAGGGTCTAGAGGAAATCTGCATTTGCATTTAAAAAATATGCAAACTCAACACAGAAAACAGCTGATGATAAGAGACCTATTCTTGCTTTGAGTGAACAATCCTTTATAAACATTTTGATTTATCTAATTTCAACCTTGTTTAACCTCAAATTAAACAGAGCGACCTTGGCTCTGGTTTACAACTGGCTGACAACAGCTTTGTAGTTTTTAGATAACTTTTATCTTTTTAATCATATTTGATTTGGTTGTTTGCAAATTAATAGGGGTTTTATAGTGAATTCAATGGGAAATTGCTGCAGAAAGATAAAGAATTTACCTCAAAACAGCCTTATACTCTGCTCGAAAAACCAGCATAGACCAGCATAGGCTGTGTTTTGGTACTGGTATGCTGGTCCAGCATGAGACGCTGGTGAGTGGATGCTGGACCAGCAAGCTTGACCTACATTCCCAATAGCTAAACAAGAAACAAAACAACAACCATAGCTGGTTTATGCTGTTTTTTTCAGCAGGGTATTTATTCATTATTGTTATGATTATCGTTATATTATTTGTATTGTTATTGTTGTTGTTGTTGTTGTTATGATTATGATTATGATTATTATGATTATTATTGTTGTTGGTGATAATTTTATTATTATTATTATTATTATTATTACTACTACTATTATGATTAATCATCATCATAATGAACTGCTAAATAACTCCTATATTTATTTTGAGGAAAAATATTGACATTTAAAAGTGTCTTTTAAGTCATAATTTTTTTAAATGTGGAAAATTGTATGTAGATTAAAAATAATGTTATTTCAAAGTTTGACCTGTATGAAAACTTTTGCTACTTTTTTGTTCCTAAGCAACGCTTCACGGCGTCCTGTAGTTCGCAAGGTTTTCTGGGAATCGGAGGCCTGGGGGGGTGGGTTGAACTAGCGCCCTTTTTGGAGAGACGAGGGTAGAACGGCGTCGTGGGGAATAATATCGCATAACAATTTTGTGAAATTGTGTAGCCAAACTCAAGGTATGTTTATCGATAGTTTCTAACTTATTCTTTGTCCTAGAACGGTTACAATCAGTAAATATGTCTGGGAAAAGTATATTTTAATGCGCCGTTTGATGACGTAATGTTGATGGCCAAAACGCGAAATGGCTAGCATGCTAAGAGGCCTGTAAGGAGTATCACCATGGGCTTGTGTAGCATTTATTTTCTTGTTATTACAGGATGGAGATGGTTTCACTGGGTTTCTTCTTCTGGTACGTTAAGTTTCAGTGGTCTGTTCTCGTTGGGCTTTTGAAATAATAAACTTTGTTTTTGTATGGAGCGGGATTTTGTGGATGCTTGGTTAGCAAACACGGACCTGAGCTACAGCTAGCTCGTGAAGCCTTCAGCGAGAGTCATGTGTCGAGGTTTAGGTCTGCAGTTTTATGAGGATATTTCACGTTAAGGGGGTTTTGCCATTGATGGATTTAGTTTTATTAATAGAAAACAGTTTCAGTCAACGCGTTTCTCCGCTTTAAGCGTGATGCAGCGTAAATCACTGATGTGTTAGCCATCGATCTCGTCAATATATTACAAACTACATGCCTGCTCATCTTGTGTCCTCTGTGATAGAAATGTGTTATATGTTTATTTTTTTTATTTTTTTTTTTATTTATTTTTTTTTTTACAAATGTTATACTATTTTACCTCTTCCAATTTTATTTTTATTTTATCCGGGGCTTATATAGAGAAAGTGTTTGTCAATAAAGTTTTGATTAAATAAAGTATCCAAGGTCAGTTTTATTTTTCACTAAAAAGCATTAAAATTTTGGCATATATCCTTTTTCGGTTTGACAGGAAGTGTTATTCAAATTGCAGTTTAATTTTAGTTTGAACTGTAGTCACGTTAGAAAGTGACAGCTGTTTGTTTTCTTCATGTAGAAAATAATTTAAATACAAATGGGTGTCCCATTTACATATAAATATGACAAGAGTTAAAACAATATAAACATTTATATAATGACATGTCTGATAAAAGTATTCCACAGGTAAACAGATGTTTGCGGTCAGCATGTACACAAAGATGAAATATCTGTTGCAAAAGCAGGGAATTAAATTTTCTGATGTTCATATTTATTTTATTTATTTGGCATTGCTTATTTAATTTTAAAATGTGTATGTTTTCCTGTTTCAGCAGAAAAATACCAGGTGAAACATGGAGGTGGGGACAGAAGTGGAGGTTAATGGAGGCAGCCAGTACCCAGAGCTTTACAAAGTCATGATGGAAAAACTCAATGAACAACGCCAGCTAGACCAGTTTACAGACATCACTCTTATAGTGGATGGTAAATACAACTCATGTTATTTCGATCCACCCCATCAATCTGAACAACTCGGATGATAAATTGTGGAAACTTACTTTTCTCTTGCAAAGTGTTTGGCGATATGTAAATAAAACAAATAATTCTCTTGAGAGTCGTTGTGAGAATGTTTGAGTAATGTGTCAAGAAACACAACTTTTGTGAAGCTCCCAAATGACTAAAATGAATGTAATCAGTTCTTTTGTTTTATTGCAGGATGTCAGTTCAGAGCCCATAAAGCAGTGTTGGCAGCGTGTAGTCAGTTTTTCCACAAATTCTTCCAGGATTTTACTCAGGAACCTCTGGTGGAGATAGAAGGTACAAAATATTTCATTCAAGCCTGTTCATTCATCAAGGTGGAAGCAGATTGTAGAAAGTGTGGGTGGAGATTAGTGCTCTCTGGTGGACAAAGTTATGGTGGCAATGAGTAAAGATCATTTTGGATCTCGTGTATCTCAATACAGAAAGTTATTTTATCATAAATATGTCAACTTACGGAAGAGCTCGCATGCTTGTTTTTGTTCCTGTTACTTTTTTAAGTGTCATCTAACGAAACTTAGTAAACTTACACCACTTCTCTTAAAGGGACATTATGGAAGTTTGACAGCCAAAACATGTATAGAAATAATAAATGTCTTCTTCATACATTCTCCTGCAATGCCCTGGTCCTGTAGAATGAGCCCTGGCATTTTTACTGTGATTGCCTGTTTTTCTGTAAAATCACAGAAAAAGAGAGCTGCTCGGGTCGAGCAGGCTGCTTCATGCGCGTTCACGCTCAGGCATAGCCCGTAGCATTTGCTATCCGTAGCTTTAGCAGCAGAGAGAGAGGCAGTGCCACTTTGTCGCTGTTCCTAACGCCTAGTGACAAAGCTAGCTACATTTCTGAGGACCCTTAGCTACTTTCTGTAGAACTTTCTTCTAGATATTTCCTGCAAATTAGCAACAAAATAGCCATTTTCACTCAGAACCGTTCTTTGGTTTGACGTTGTTTCAGCTGTCATCAAGGATATAAAAGTTACAGATACTGTGAATGTTACTAGAGTGTAGCTCACCTTGTAAGATGTCTGACTCTCATGCAGAAGACCTGGGTTTGATTCTGGATGTGAACATAGTTCATTTAGAGTTTCTTTTTTACATTAATGGTATATTTTTTTACAGTAAGAAGCCCAAATTTTTATTTGAGACTCGCCGAACGGCATTGAATTCACAGATAAAAAAGATGTGGGTTCAACTTTCATTTTGGAACAATTTTTCAAGCAAGGGAAGGGAATGATCTGAGCATGCAGGAGGACTGACCCATCATAAACCTTTGTCGGCTGTGCTGAAGAGAAAGGTACAGAACCACAATATTTAATTAATTAGCTGCACGTTCTCCTGTCCTCTGTCCTCTGGGCCACATACACACACACACACACAAGGGACTGTCTCAGCTGTTATTTTCGTTAAGGAGTGTGCACGTACAGCATGCGCGCCTCGTGCACGAGCCTACTATTGAAGCTGCCGTTACGCTTTTGGCCTGAGGGGGCAATCGCGAGCATAAAAATTCAAAACTCCGTAAAGTCCCTTTAAGTGGTAAAATATATGAAAATATTAACAACCGGTAGCTAAAAAAATTCTAAATCATTTTTCAGGAGTGAGCAACACCGCCTTTTGCCAGCTGATGGAGTTTACCTACACAGCCACGCTAGCTATAGCAGGAGAGGAAGAGGCCAGTGATGTGTGGAAGGCTGCTGAATATCTACAAATGGAGGAAGCACTTAAAGCCCTTAACAATAGGTAAGATTTATTCATGTCTTTTGATCTGTAAAGATTACCCAGAACTTAAAAATTCCACCTCCTGTAGGGTGAATGCCAACTCATCTGCGTCTGTGAGGGGCAAATGGAAAAAGAGGAAAATTGCCGAGACATCCAGTGTGATTACAGAAACCCTGCCAAACATGGAAGGAGCGCCGGTCAGTGTGTTTATAATTGATCCCAATGAGTAAAATTCCCTTTCTTTACTTTTATGTTTAAAATTAAAAATGTTTTACTACCTTGTAGGTGGAGGTTGATGTAGTGGAAGAAGGGTCCATTGAAGTGGAGCATTCTGGGATGGAGGAGGTTCATGAAGCAGACAAGACTGCTCAGGCTGACTCAGAGGATTCTGCTCTGGCTCTTCTGGCTGACATAACGAGCAAATATCAGCAGGGAGAGCCAGCTTTACAGGTGATGATAAGAAACCGAAGGAACACAATTTATTCATTTTAGTAGTTGTGACCATAATACTTAAACCATTTTGTTCAAATTTGTTTCTGTGCTCTGCAGGAGGTTCTGTACCAGGAGGAAACCGTGACGGCCTCGAGGGTCCTGGAGAATGTTGAGGTCGTCGAGGTCCAAATCTCCCAAGTTGACAATATGTTTCGCTGCAGCAAATGTGATCGCAGTTTTAAATTATACTATCACCTCAAACAGCACTTAAAAACTCACCTGGGCTCAGTGGAGAAGCCACATGTGTGCAGCCACTGTGGGAGGGCCTACACACGGGAGGGCGCCCTGAAGCAGCACGTCAACACGTTTCATTTTGACTCAGAAGAACTGTCGCGAAACAGCCCGAAACCCCAGAAGAAAGTGCATGTTTGTGAACACTGTCTGAAACACTTTGACCACTTTGGTCACTTCAAGGAACATTTACGGAAGCACACTGGTGAGTTAAAAAAAAAAAAAAGTTACTCTGAATTTTGTTTTATGTCTAGTTGTGAATTAGCCTAAAAATCTAGACAAGCTACCACTGGCCTGAGCAGCTTTGTGTCTTGTCAATCATGGCGCTCTACGTTTGGGTGGTCTTAAAGCTTGGTTTATGCTTGACGCATTTACTTTCCGCTTGGTGATGCGGCTCGCGGATGGAACGCGCTTCACAACTCGCAGCGTTTATGGTTCACGCGGCTTGTCTCTGCGGTGAGCCAATATTCTCCCAAACTGTAGGGGGCAGCATGGAGCTCTACGGCATGCATCCAACACTACACCATAGTAGAAGTAAAAATTACTGTTAACAACAACATTCCAGCATTTTTTTAACAGTGTCCTCGTCTTTTCCGACAGTGCGAGCCATTTCTCTCCAAGAATTATTAACAACATGTTGATCACGGTGATCTCTGAGAGCTGAATCATACAAATGTCTGTATTTACGAACCTCTGCCATACTAGTTCTTGCCAGTCCGCCATGTTCTTCCGTGTCCGACCGTCCGCGTGGTTAGAAAATTTCCTAGGTGCGCGGTGCGGAAATTTTGGGCCATGTGGAGGCGTGGTGGAGGGGCGTGGTCGTTAAAATGACGCAATTTTGCCGCGCGGAGCCGTGCGAACCTCGTGGACGTGTCAAGCATAAACCAACCTTAACACTAGATCTGTGATGGAGAAACAACAAAGCTGGCGTCGGCTCAAGAACGGCTTCGGCATCAACTTTAAACGATTTAGACTTGAGCCTTTTTTTTTTTTTTTACATGAGTCGTTTAATTCAAAAAATTCTGCCTTTGCTTCAACTGTGTATGGTGGACTGCCTCGTTAAGTGGTTGCCATAGTGATAAAAATATGTCACGTTTTTCTGACTGGTCCTAGCGCTTTCCAGTTGCGTGCAGAGAAACCCCTTGGAAATAGGAAATGTCTCATTAACATGTCTGTCTTTTATGCTTTTTAGGTGAAAAGCCTTATGAGTGTCCAGACTGTCATGAGCGATTTTCCAGAAACAGTACGCTGAAGTGTCACATGGCAGCCTGTCAGAATGGGGTAGGAGCCAAAAAAGGACGCAAGAAGCTGTATGAATGCCAGGTACAGCTGTTTAGAAATCATCCTGCTATGTCGGTTTATTGCTATCATTTTCTTTCCCTAATGTTAAAATATTGGTTAATTTAGGGTAGGGATGGGTACCTTTGACATTTGAATCGATCCGGTACTAATTCCTGGTACCTACGAATCGATACCGGTACTTAACGGTACCAATTTTCGATACTTTTGAGTAGGGCTGCAACAAACGATTATTTGGATAATCGATTAATCGGATGGGGTCTCGACACGATTAATCGATTAATCGGATCACATGGGGAAATTTTTTAAAACTGCTAGGGAAACGTTATTTCTCTCCTTCCTTCACTTTATTTAACACAACATTATTATAAAACAGTTCAATAGCAGAAAAACAACATGCCATCACCTAAATTGTCTTATAAGGTGTATAGACAGAGACCCTAAGCTACATCTATCTGTGACCTAAAATGCTTGGTCCAAGTTAAACAGCTTAAGGGCAATTCTCATCTGTTTTGTTTGATCTCATCTGTTAATATTTATTTTAAATGTAATTAAACATAGGCTGTGAATTAATCAAAATTGATCACTATTTCCAAAACTGACTGAAAAAATACCAAATAAAACAAAAGTAAATGAATGCCATCCTCCTTGCGATGATGCCCTGGGCAACTGCCATAAAGTCACATCAAGAAATGCTGCTGATCATTCCAATGATCCCAAATAGACTCACATTAGGCCACATGAAAGCAACTGAACCCAAAAATATATTAACCAGTATATAACTGCACTCTCACACAACACGCCTGCAGCAACAGTTAGGACTCCTCCCTCCCTTTTAAAAGCGTTTTTGCTTCTGAGGACATTGTGGTTGTAAAACCACATGCTAGTAGTCTGGCCCCGGTGTGATCAACCAGTTTCTGCGGGAATGTGACGGCGGAACCAGGGCCAGATTAACACTTTGTTGTACCCTGGGCAACAATATTCAAGGGCTCCATCATCACGACCCAAGGATCACCATAATGTGGTCACATACAGAATATTTTACTGTAATATGCAGTAAATATACTCAATACTTGAATGCCTGACAACACGTAACCCGCCCAGGTTAACCTTTGAACCACCTCGTGTGGACTGACCAATGAGGAGAGGGTCTTAACTTGAGGCCCTCTCTTCATTGGTCAGTCTGCATGAGACTGACTCTCAACTGACATTCAGTCGTAGGCAGCGAAGCGTCTCTGTGCAGCGCAAAAGCCCGGGTGGACAGTTTGTTTAATGTAGGGTGACCATATTTCCATTTCCAAACAAGAGGACAGGGGATCTGTGCCTATGACGTCACACTATGGCAACGCCACACAAACCATGTTGGGACCCATTTTTTGTAAGAACTAAATTAATATCAGATTCTGCCAATTAAAGGGCTCTAAAACAATTCATATGTAAATATTTTGCATATTTAATGCAAAATCTAATTTTTCTGCTTTAGTGCTGCAACAAGGTTTTATTAATAATAAATTATTATACCTTTTGTTTTACTACAGCATCGGTAAGCTTCCTGTGCACAGATTATTAAGGATGCTTGTTTCAGCTGTGAGATTAGACGATAGGATCAATGAAAAAATAAGTTGTCACACACTCCATGGAAACTTTCAGAGAATCCACAAATAGTGGCTTTCAAATGGTTTTGTTACTTTTTGCAAGTTTTTAAAAGAAGCAGATGAGACAGCATGTCTGATAATTTAGTTTTTCATCTGATAATATTAGAACATGTCAGTAATGTCTGAGGGGCTTTTATAAACACTGTATAACTAACACTACTGGAGAGGGCATGAATTACACAGAGGCTTCTGGGGAGCCCAGTTATGGGGGGGGGGGGGGGGGGGGTCATTTTGCCTTGGCCCCAAAATGTCTTGAAACGGCCCTGGGTGTGTGACTGAGTTGTGAAGGTGATCTGAATTGTATCAGATGTATAAATATGACATGTGTATAACTTATTGTTTTTTACTGGTAAAAACGTGTAGTGGAGATAAATCTACCTATTTGACTTTTCAACACTTTGTTTTGTTTTCTTGTTTTTATTTAACTATTTTCCTGTCCTGTCTGTCTCTCATCTTCCTGCATCTCCTCATAATTCTCCAGAAAATCTGTTGCCTGGATTCTTATCTTTTCACCTCATCAGTTACTTTTGAGCAGATCAAAGGGATCTCCTGACCGAAAAGCGCAGAGCGCGTTTTCGATGCTGCGTGAGGTGAAATCACCACAGCACAGGTGATGAGCTCCGCAGTAGCGAGCTTCAGGCACAAATAAGACAGAAAATAGAGAACATGTGCGGACATGAACGATCGTGTGCTAATTATAGTTTTTTGGTTGCGCCACTTTGAGAATGGACCGTGCGCTGGAAGCAGCTGCCTGGATCGCTGCGCGACAATGCGGAACCGGTTCGCAGCAGCGCAAGTCTGCCGGCTCTCCCTCGCGCTGATCTGCGGCTCTCCCTCGCGCTGATCTGCCGGCTCTCCCTCGCGCTGATCTGCCGGCTCTCCCTCGCGCTGATCTGCGGCTCTCCCTCGCGCTGATCTGCCGGCTCTCCCTCGCGCTGATCTGCCGGCTCTCCCTCGCGCTGATCTGCGGCTCTCCCTCGCGCTGATCTGCCGGCTCTCCCTCGCGCTGATCTGCGGCTCTCCCTCGCGCTGATCTGCCGGCTCTACCTCGCGCTGATCTGACTTGCTCTGGTCTGCGCGCAACGGCGGGCGGGGGGGGGGGGGGGGGGGGGGGGGGGGGGCTTTTGGAAGAGTTGTGCGACACAACGAATCGATGACGCAATTCGTTGCCAACGCTTTTAGTAATCGATTTTCATCGAATTTATCGATTCATTGTTGCAGCCCTACTTTTGAGTGTTTGTTATTTTAATTCTCTTTTATAATTAAATATATATTTTTCTCAATATATAACCATATTTGATAAATATCACGATAAATAACATACAACTGTTTGTATTTTAACATCGTCCTTGTAGTTTTATAAGCTGATAATTAAACTGAAGCAAACATCTTTACTGTGAACTAAATTTACTGTGTATCTTCATTCCTTTTGCCGTCCTTTTTCATTTGATTTTTCCTACTGGGAAGTTAGAATTTCCGAGGAGAAAGCGAACGCACCATTAGCTGATAACAATGGTGGCAATGGAAGCTAATTTATCAAGCTAACGTTATCTTTAACAGTTTATTTAGCTACTGGAGCAGATTAAAACGATGATGCCTCACACTTAGATCGTTGTCGCTGGTTTCATCATCACCCAGTTACCCATCACATTTAGTGAAGTGGACCCAAACTTTAGCGTGCGTTCTTTCTACCATGCTGCTCTGTTTACAACTCGCTCGCAGCGACCAACGACATAACGCTCTTACGCATGAGCAGCTGTCTAGGCAAGTTCTCGTTATGAAGGACGGGTACCGAAACGAGGCACCGTTTCAAACGACGTGAATCGGTGCTCGGTCGGTACTATGGAATTTGGTCGGTACCTTAAAAAGTACCGAATTCGGTACCCATCGCTAATTTAGGGAAAGGAATTTGATTCATGTAGTTTTCTGTTTGCCTGCCTAGACCAAAATGGAGATGCTATGAAATGATCTTCTGAGTCTTTCACTTTCTTTCTTTTTTTTGATGACCTTAAAAAAACATCTACGTCCTTTAGGTGTGCAGCAGCATCTTCAACAGTTGGGATCAGTTCAAAGAACATCTCATGTGCCACACCGGAGACAAGCCCAACCACTGCACTGTGTGTGACATGTGGTTCACCCACGCCAAAGAGCTCAAGACCCACCTCAAAGACGTCCATTCCATTGAGGGAAAGTCAGCTGAGCAGCTCATCATCACAGACTCTGCTGCGTCTGCTGCCCTCGCCATCGCCTCGCAGAACATAGAGGGGGCGGAAACGGTCCTGTTGGAGGACGGCATCCAGGTCGAACATGTCACGGTGGAGCCCGTAAACGTGGTGGAAATGGAGGATGCTACGACGCTCGTGGTGGAGGAAGGAGAAGTGGGAGGGATGTGCGAGGAGGACTTGGAGAGATTGAAACGGGCGGGGTTGCAGATCCAGGTTGTGCATGTGACCACAGCTGAAGTTGATGGGCAGCAAGTGGTGAACTCTCGGGTGGAAGTAGATGGACAGCGAGGTGGTGAACCTTGATGAAACAAAGCAATCAGTTGTATGGGACTGCGAGATGTTTTGGCTTATTTGCACAAGATTCTTCCAGTATTGAGCAGCTAAATATTCTTGCCACAGACACCTTATCTTCATACTGAATCCTGCATGTGGGGACTCTGGATTATCACCTCAACTTGTCCTTCTGTCTCTGAATGTCACGTTTTCTCCTTTGTCTCTGAAGGTTTGGAGATGCGACATTTCTTATTAAAGTCGTATTTATTTAAAAGCAGTTTGAGCGTTTTCAAATTCATGAACTTATTTGAACTCCTTCCTTACTGCTTAGTTCCATGCACTTGGATCACTTGCTTCTACAATTGTACAAATATGTCTGTATGCTGCTCTGAAGTTTCTTTAAATTTTATTTTCACACTGCCTTCCAGGTTCATTTGGTAATGTTGCAGCTATGAAATTAAATTGTTTTCAGAATGGGGTTGTCTTTTTGTCAGTTATATATATATATATATATATATATACATACATATATACATATACACATATACATACATACACATATACATATATATGTGTATATATGTATGTATATATATATATATGTATGTATAAATGTATATATATGTGTGTATATATATATATATGTGTGTGTATATATATATATATATATATATATATATATATATATACACACTACACACACTCCACAAAAATATAAATGCAACACCTTTGTTTCTGCTCTGATTTTTCATATATATATATATATTAAATAGAGTCAGCGTTGACCCTCTGTAAATTGTCAGTTTTAATAATAAATCAGCTGTGTTCCCGCCTAGTCCCCTGACCCCTGGCTGAACCTCTCCTGACTGGAACACTTGTTCGTGAAACTTGCAGGTTTGGTTCCCCGCTGCGTCCCGCTCCTCTCACGCTGCGTTGGACAGCTCCCGTGGTACCGATCTAAATCGGTCCTAAATATTTTCTCTGATTGGACACCCAAAGCCCAGCGTCCTCCTTGCGTCACCGCTGATTGGTCGATCCGCCCGTCTGTCAAACGGATTTCCTTGACAACAGTCTGAGCCGGTGAGGAGCAGCTATTGCAGAGCCAGTGTGCGCCCAACGTCACCGGGTGTGAGCGGGGATGGATTTGGCAGCGAAGTCGGTAAACACGGTCTCAGCGGTCCCGTGAAGATAACGTTCTCTCTCAAGTAAGATTAATTCCAGCGCGTGGCCTGAGATTTCCGTTGTTTTTAACCGGTTAGAGTTATAAAAACACAGCTTGGCGCAGATAATGGCCTGCTACGGAGATGTAACAGTTGATTGGACACGAAGGGGTTATTATAGGCTACTTCAAATACGCAATTCGGGATTTAGTAGTAAATGAGGCTTTTATTTAAAAAAAATGGTGTGATATATATATATATATATATATATATATATATATATGTGTGTGTGTGTGTTACAGTTGGATGTGTTAAAGTGTATGTTGCTTATAATTTAAAAAGAATAAAATATATAAATTCTAAATTTCTTATGCTGTTTTTGAGTTAAGTGGTATTAGATCATTTAAAACATCACCTACAGTAGAAATACCAGAAGCAAGTGTGTGCCGAGTAACCATGGGAACTAAAACTTGCTCTGAACTGAGCACCTGTTACTTTTGAATCAAAATGTGCTAACTTAAAGCAAACACATAAAGCTTAAACGTTGACAAAATAAGCACATTTTCTTCCAATCAAAGAAGTAAAAACAAACTTAACCTCTAAGAACACAGTGAAACTTCACTAAGATGGGGGTTTCCAATCTCTGGGGCAGGAATCAGGTGTAGCACACACATAAGACTAAAGATATTTTTAAAATTCTGCGTAAACAACCGTCTGCTGTGCATTTTTTTAAAATTATTGTAATTCAATTAATCATATGTTTAAGGGCCATTCAGTCCCTTTACCAGAGGAGCGCGAGTTTGGTCCGCATAGCCGGTAGTAAGTCGGACCTGTTCCCGGTGAGGGTTGGACTCCACCACGGCTGCCCTTTGTCACCGGTTCTGTTCATTACCTTTATGGACAGAATTTCTAGGTGCAGCCGTGGTGTGGAGTGTGTCGAGTTTGGTGGCAGGAGAATCTCGTCTGCTTTTTGCGGATGATGTGGTCCTCCTGGCCTCATCCAGCTCTGACCTTCAATTCTTGCTGGGTAGGTTAGCGGTCGAGTGTGAAGCGGCTGGGATGAGGATCAGCACCTCCAAATCTGAGACCAGTTCTCGACCGGGAAAGGGTGGCTTGCCAACTCCGGGTCGGGAGAGAGGTCCTACCTCAAGTGGAGGAGTTTAAGTATCTCGGGGTCTTGTTCACGAGTGAGGGTAGGAGGGATCGGGAGATCGACAGGCGGATTGGTTCGGCGTCTGCAGTGATGCGGACACTGAGCCGATCTGTCGTGGTGAAGAGGGAGCTGAGCCAGAAAGCCAGGCTCTCGATTTACCGGTCGATCTACGTCCCAATCCTCACCTATGGTCATGAGCTTTGGGTAATGACCGAAAGAACGAGATCGCGGATACAAGCGGCCGAAATGAGTTTCCTCCGTAGGGTGGCCGGGCTCAGCCTTAGAGATAGGGTGAGGAGCTGGGACATTCGGGAGGGACTCGGAGTAGAACCGCTGCTCCTCCGGATCGAAAGGAGTCAGTTGAGGTGGGTTGGGCATCTGGTCAGGATGCCTCCTGGACGCCTCCCTGGGGAGGTGTTTCGGGCATGTCCTGCCGGCAGGAGGCCCCCGGGTCGACCCAGGACACGTTGGAGAGGTTACATCTCCAATCTGGTCCGGGAACGCCTTGGGGTCCTGCCGGAGGAGCTGGTGGAGGTGGCCGGGGAGAGGACGGTCTGGAGCTCCCTAGTTGGGATGCTGCCCCCGCGACCCGGACCCGGATAAGCGGAGGATGACAATGACAATTAATCATAACAGTAATACGAATAAAGGGATTCCTTTTGAATTTGCTAGACATGATAAATGGATTTTAGTCTTCTTCAACCCCCTGGTTGCTTTATAGTCAACCAATTATTCACTCACACATTCACCGCTGCTCAGTGGCATGTTGACTGAGGCGATTCAGCCAACCACTGGTACACCGGCCCGTCCAACCACCAAGCCTGGTGAGGCGTCTTGCCCAAGGACACAACAACTGCCGAGTGAGGTTCAAACCTGCAACCCTCTGGTTATGGAGCGGGCACTTAACTCCTCTGCCGCCGTTGCCCACGTGTTTATGTGTAGTAAAGCAATTTTTATTTCATGCAGTTTATGGAATTTTGTCATAACTGTGACCCATACCAGTGGAAAGTTATCTTCATGAAACTGGTGCTGCACAAAAGGTTTAAGTATGGTAGCACAGTGTTGGTCCCATTGTAGTGTTTGTGTTTACACATCGTAACAGGAAATGATAAAAGCGAGGCTGTCGCGAACTGGCACCACCATTCCTGTTGGCCATCACCGGCAGGCAAGGAGGTCTTGCCCGAGGACACAACAGCAGAATTCTAGATAGAACCAGCTCTCCCGAGCATGAGAGAGAGCTGCTGCAGGAGGAGCAGTGGCTCTTCTCCCAGCCCCTCCTAGATATTGAGCTTCTCAGCTTATAGCAGCCTGAGGTGGGTGGGCGTGGCCAACTCCAGCATGTTTTCCTAAAGCGAAATCACTTAAACCGTCAAGCCCAAAACGCATTTATGTGAGCGGAATTTAGTTCCGAGAACTTCATAAACATGTTTGGTATCAACCACAGAACTATCATAACTTATGAAAAAAGTCTCAACATGTCCCCTTTAACATGCTTTTTTTATTCGAATGAATAATAAGATGCTCCATTACGAGTCATTTAGCTCATACACAACATGCACACATACACACATATACACACACACAACATTTCTGACTCTTTCCAACACTCAAGAAACAATATATGTGTGCAAGTCTTCAATGAGCAATAAACAATAATATTCTTATTCTTTCTAATTAAAGGCTGGTGCATATTTTTCCATAATATTAAAGCCTAAAAATAATTGTTTTTGGGGATCTTTTATGCCCACCTGTGTGAAATCTGTTCCTAATTTTATTCTTTTGATGATCAATCAGTCACAATGCATGAAACAATGTTCGTCATGTGATTTTTTTTTTCTTTGATGCAAAAGCAGCTTTGATGTGTTGATTGAGAACAACATGAAAACTGAGACAGGGCTTTAAAGCTGGGAAAAGCACGTGTGCTTTATAGTGCGCATCATCATTATGGTGTTGTGCTTCCTGTGTAGTGCCATGGTAACTTTGTGCAGGCCTCAGAGACAAATCCAGCTCTCTGCTGTAACATTTGCTCTGGGTTGACGTGCATATAGGGACATTTTCTTTGCACAAACAGTCATCCTGCAACCGTTTAAATGAAAGCACTCACATGTGCACTTTTCCTTAAGGTTAGGAATCTTTTAGAGTTTGCAAAATGTTGCTGACAAAACAGATGTTCAACATCTAGAATGCACATGTTTTTGCAAAGCAACTGGGTCCGTTCCCTGTGGCACATAGAAGTCTGTGCAGCTTTTCTTTAGACTGTGTCCATTTGTGTGTCACAGTGATGGGATTTAGAGGTCAATATCTCTTTTTTTCCCTTTTGAAAACGTGAAATATTTGCCCCATAGATCCAAGAGAGGCCCATCTCTCTGCCCCTAGGTTCCATGGACCTCATTGTTGTTGCTCTTTCACTGGGAGCTTTTTATTCTTCTCAGCTGTATCTCAATGAACACACTGGGGAGCTTTGTGTGGAGAGAACACGGTTTGTGAGCACAAACTGGCTGGTTTTGGTATTTACATGGCCGTTCATGAGGTTATCTGGGGGGGAAAAGGGATTGTGAATGGCCGTTCACGGCGGGATTTGGGTTTAAAACACATTAGGAACAAGGAGAATTAATATACATGCAGACAAATGTCTCACAGCTGGCAATGTGAGAAGCAGCTCCTCATTGCTCTCGCCTTGTCAAACACTACATGCATTTTTGAGAAGGGAAGCATAGCAGGTGGAAAGAACAAGTAATTGATCCACAGCTGCTGTGCACACAGGCTCTTTAGTTTAGTGTTGTAGAAAGGCGTGAAGAGGCTGCTGGTGCCAGTGCAATCAGCAGATGGGTGTACCCAAAGACATCCTCTGCTTTTTGTCTTTAGGGGTTTTTACATAAGTGATTAACTGGAGTGAGAGGAGAGACTCATCCTTGGAAAGATAGCAGGTGAAGGACTGGTTGACAGCATGTTCGTGTGTCAGCATGTGGTTTTGGTTTAACATAATGTGAGATGTTGAATCTAAAATTTAAACAACAACGCATGTTAAATGATTTTCTCTATATTGAAAACTAATTAATGGTCAACTTAATTGAAAAGCCATTATTTTCTTTACTTATTATTTCTGAATATAATCGGTCACTGAGTTTGTCTTGTGGGCTGAAGTCTCCTACACCTATCTCCTGCATTAGATGGTGAAACTCTAGGATCTGAAAAGCCTGACAGATCTATGTCACACTGTCACTTAAAGGGATACTCTGCAACTTTTTCATATTTTAAATCTTTTTCTCAAGTCAGTATGTGCAAAAACGACCCTTTACAGGGTTAATGGGCATCTGGTCACTCAGACCCCACTCAACCCTCTGTGGCCAGAATACCACATTTGCAACTTCAGAGTGGCAGGTGTGGATTCAGAAAACAAATTGAGCTGACATGCCTGGTTGCATCCAGCACGTTTCCTGCATGTTTTACAGGGTATCCGCGGGTCCTTAAAAAGTCTTAAAAAGTCTTAAATTTGCTTTTCCAAATTTAAGGCCTTGAAAATCCTTAAAAATGACAAATAATCATTAAATACAGTTTCCAAAAGTCTTAAATTACCAAAGACTCAATAAACAAGATTCTTTTATTTCTATAAAATTTTCCTGAATTTCGAGTGTTCAGCATTTTTTGTGTATGATGTTGGCGTAAGCGGAACCGTACACATTCAGTTGGTTGTGAAAGGGGTCTATTTTTAGATGAGCACATTAGCTGGTTAAGCTAGTGGGAGCTTGCGCCATGGGAAAGTGCAAGTTTAATGGTAACTGGATGGCTAATCCCACATTCGCGACGTGGTTAGCACCAATTCCAGGCAATAGCTGGAAATTAAATCTTAAATTTAATTTTAAAAAATTGCTTAAATTTGGTCAAAGTGGCC